TTTACCTTTGCCAATAAACCTTTAAGAAGAAGCAAGGAAGCATTCCTGTCCTGGTTGAAGCTGGGACAGTTGGTTTTCCTCGCAGTGTCTGGTACAATGCAACGTTTTGGCTTTAGGAGAAAAACACTGCTGATAACACGCCAACGTTATAATTGTTGCTTAGCAGTGATGTGCAGAGCCAATGATGTTTCAGCTTCTCGTACTGTCTTGCCAGTGAGGGGACTGGGTGGAACCAAGAGCAAGGACTGAAATGGCTCAAGGCACATTCCAAGCCATATGACATGTAACACAACAGGGTGATGGAAAGCACAGCAGGAATAGCTGCGTGGCAAAGTGAGGACAAGTACAAGTGCAGAAGTTGCAGACAGAAGCAAAGGAAAAAAGCTACTCACTCTTGGAAGGCCTCAGGTAGGCAGGGATCTCTAACAAGAGACCCTCACCTCCACTGCCAACCCTTAAATGAGGTCTGGGAAGGGATGGATCCTGGCTCCACCCCTTCCACCATTCAGGTACATTGCATTGCATTGCACGCACCTGAGCTCCCCTGGGCTGGCCCTGTCTTCCCACCAGGTGCTCCATCATTGCTTCAAGCCATGAGTTAGCATTGCCATCACATGACATCATGCACAAACTATAGACCTGTGAGGATATGACCAGAGGGGGTAGCCACTGCTCAGGTACTGGCTGAGCATGTTGTCACTGCTCTTATTTATCATTTCCTAGTAAATTTCATCTCAACTTACGAGTGGCCAAAATAATACAATTTTGAGGGACAATAAGGAGCTTTTCAAAAATATCCTGACATCAAAAGGAGGACCAGAGAGAACACTGGTTCGTTACTTGATGAAAATGGTTCTCTTACAAACAGGGACACAGACAGGGGCATTTAATAACTTCTTTGCATCTATCTTCAACACCAATGATAGATGCTATTTCAGTAGGATATAAAATAATGTGCTGAATACAGGAAAAAACAACAGTGAATTTTTGAACTATTGTCAGAAATAAGAAGGAGAAATGCTAGCATTTGTATGACATGAGCACACTCAGAATGTGATGCGGTAAGCAGCTGTAAGAAAAGGCACAGCAGTACTTAGTCAGACACATGCTTCTCCAGTTAAATGTTTCTGAGTAAGAACTTACAGATTAGAACAAATTCGCTCTAACTTCATGTGATCACAGACAAAAGAAACCTCTTATTTAAATAAACTCTGTTTGGAAATACACATTATGTGATGTTGAAGCAGCACCAGACAAGGACTCAGAGACACTGGAGACTACACATCCGCAGGCAGTGGACCACACAGACTTTGAACTCATACGTTAAATGCTGTGTGATTCCAAACACGAGTCCACAAAGCTGCAAACCACCCCTTTCTGGAGAATTTCAGTCTCTCCCTACTCTTACTGGTGAGTCTCCCTGACTCCAGCACATATGTTCACACACCGAAACTGCAGCAGAGATAGTATGGAAAACAGGGTAGGACAAAAGCAGACACACTTCCTTTATCTTAAAACTGGGATTAAACTGTATCACCTTGCAAGAGAGCTCCTGCAGAGTAGGTTCTGCAAAGGCCACCTGAGGAACTCAGAGACAGATCCCTGTCCACATTTTACTTTAAAGGTCTGTGAAAGCAGAGATGTGCAATGCAAAAACTCAGACACATTTAAATGGAGTCATGAGGGTCAGACCCCAGCTTTTTGCATGTCAAGAATACGCACAACTCCAGCACAAAACTGCTCCTCACATTGCAATGTGTTTCCATGTGATGGAAACAAAACCGTGAGGTTTCCAATAGCATTTTATTTCATGGGGCTAATTTATCTTCCTTATATTTTAATGAAAAGTTCATTAATCTCTCCCAAAATGTGATTTTAAGGAAGAAAAAAAGAAGTGGATGTATGATATGTATAATCAAATCTGTAGAAACCTTACTTTCCAGCATACACTTTGATCTTCTGTAAGTCTTCTGCAGGAAGCTGCATAGCCTTCTCGGCTGAGAACTGCAATAGTGAGACTTACTCCATGCGACACGCAGTTATTGGTTTCTTGTCATTAGTGCATGAAGCACTGCCACCTCTGGATGCCACAAACCAGTAATAATAAACATACAAACATCTACTTTTCTAAGCTCCTATGACCCAGAACCTATACAGTTGGGAATTACATCACAAGCTGTTTAACTGTTTTGGACCACTGTTAGCATTCTCACAAAACAAAAGATTTGTGAAACACACCAGCGCGAACTATGAAGCTCATGAGGTTTAAAAAGAAAGAAGTAAAACAAAAACAAACTGCAATATGTTTTTTTTTTAATTATCATTTGAAGCACATCAAATGCACAACTTTCTCCTGAGACTACTTGGATTATTTTCCAGATAGCAAGCCTGGGCTCTTAAGACTGCAGAATTAAAATAGATCACCCACAGAGCATAGCCAAAGCAAGAAAAATGAGAGTTTGGGACTCGATGAAATGAAAGTTGATTCGACACAGGAAATTGAGTTGGTCAGATGCGTTGAAAATGATGGCAACCAGAAACTACTTTATGAAGCACTGTATAAAACAGTCCCTTCCTTTCCAAGCCATCTGCAGCTGTGTGGATTTGCAGCAGCATGCCAGGTCTTACAAGAAAACACTCTAAGAGCAGTGTTCATCTGCAAAGTCAAATTGCAAAGGCATCACAGATGGTATACATCAAACACTGGCCAAGACAAAGGGCAGAAAAATTTCGATCCCATGTTTATGGCCAGAGTCTGTTTCGCTACAGTAAGTCAATTATGGCATCATTTCCTTCTTCAGTAGAAATTTCAGTCAGTTTGAGCCACTCCTCCTGGCTGCATCACCACTCTGCTCAGTGCAATTGCAGCACAGTTAGGATGCACCACACCCACAGCAAGGAGGGCAGCCAGGAGCCTTCTCCTCCCATTTCCCAGTGCAGCAGCCATTGCAGAAGTGCCCTGAGCAGAGCTCTGCACTTCCCCCAGCAGAACAGTACTGCCTGAAACCAAGAAGCCACGCTGTGTCCCACCCAGTGGCAACCTGGGTTACTGGCTGGCACCCCAAGCCTACATTGTATGAGGCCAACCTTGAGAGGCAGCAGCTGGAAAGAATAACCACGAGCTTTGCAAAATAGGATCCCTGTAAAGAGTGGAATCCTGGTACACTTCAGAAAACCAGGCTGCATTTTGAACTCATCTGGATGGAGGTTAAAGTTTCTATGGCCTGCAGCCGTTGGTAGATTTAAAGGTAACAGGAATGAAAAGAAAGTCTGTGAGATGTAAAACATGTCAGTCTGAAAGCACGCTTTCAAGGAGGCAAAAGACAATTTTGTTAGTAAGCCTGACATTTTCTGAAGAACTACAAATAGTGTTCCAACAGATGATGTGTGTTAAAAGGAGATACTGATGTAGTTAAAGCAAATTTAATTAAAGTAACTATGTACATATGAGACACATAGTAAAAGTCCTCCCTTCTCCAACATTCCCTTAAAATAATGTGTATATCACAAGTGCATCTTTTGGCAGCTGAGTACACTGACAGGTTCTGCAGGGCTATACATCATCACCTGAACTCAGATAATGGTAGCGTGGCTTTAACAGACTAAATTGCATCTGATATAATATTAACCAAAAATAAGCACATTTTCCTTACTGTAGACTTACTGCAAAGCAACAGTGTCCTTTCCTCTTCTCAGCAGCAGGGAAGTCATCCATTTCTGCAGGGCTCACTTCTCTGCCCATGTCGGCTCAGCTGCTAAACTGGGGTCAGGAAAAGCCAGTGTCCTTTAGGGGATGACTTTTAGAGTTCATCTTCTACTGTATAGCTGGAACTGAACTTGAGCACATCCAAACTCGTGGGGCAGACTCACTCTCTTCTCCATAAGCATTTGCCTTGTGACCACCTTCATTTCACTCTTTCCCTCCGAGAGTCGCAGAGCAGAGCAGGGTGGAACTGCTGCATGCTGTGCCATACCAGCACCGCTGCTCACCCACCACAGGCTCTGGCCGGCAAGGACTGCGCAACACCGACCCACTGACGGCCCCATTGGAACTGACAGCAGTTACCTCTCCAAGCAACCGTATCTCTTGCTGCGAACCCTTATGCACCGAACGCGTAGCTTTAAATGACATAAGCTGCAACTATGAGAGGAACTCCTATGTACCCATGAATCTGCTGCCCAGTCGCCATGTTCTCGCTCACTTGCAGAGAAAGACGAACGCCTCCTGCCAGCACAGCCCCGCTCTGCAAGGTGCCAGCAATGCCCAGATGCCTGCAAGCATCGCCTCGTTTTTGTGTTAACTCAGAAACTCTGCTGCGTGGTTTCATCGCAGCGAGAGCTCGAGGCCAGAGCGCCCTCGGCTGCACGGCGGCACACAGCAGCCCGCTGCGGCTGTCGGCACCCCGCTGGAATTCTGCCTTTGTCCGCACAGCAGCTCCAGCGCTGCTGAGCCGCCTCTGCTGAAATTCGTCCTCACCTCTGAAACACGTTAGCACTTTTTCAAAGAAATTATTATTATTTTAACTTAATTTCTCCCGTCAACCTGGAAACATTGCACTGCAGGCAGCAGTGCTGTTCCTCTTCCTCCCCTTACACCAAAGGCCGAGACGGAACGCGGCACGCGCCCGCGCAGCTGCAGCCCTCAGCACCTCCTGCACGCGCCGAGCGCCCGGCGACCCGCCAACACGGGGCAGGAGGAAAGCACGGCTTTGGCCGAGTCTGCGGAAACCAAATCACAGGGCAGGACTGCGGCTGGTACAAAGTCGTCCGGCAAAAAGGTTTCTGAACAGGTCCGACTAAAAAGCCGCGCTTGTTCCCTACGCGGTCGAAGAAACACAACGGCACCGCCAGCGCCCGGGCCGCCACCACAGCACCGGCAGCTCCCGGCCGTTAAGGAGCAGCCGCGCCCCGCCCTCCCGCGTTCCCCTCACAGCGGCCGCCCCCCCCGCCCTCCATCCCGGCCCGGGGCCGCGCACAGCGCTGCACGAGCACACGCACTCTGCTTTGTATCTAAATCTTTATTAGAACAATCCCCAAGAGCTGTAAAACAGTGAGCAACAACAGAATTAAATATTAAACGCTTCAGTTACCAAAGGTGTTTAAACAATACGTTCCTATTTCTGCATAGCAGAAGCGAACAGGTTTTAGAGCTCAAGCTGCCGTGCGCTCTTGTTAACTTGGTTTTGGCACGATAATAACACACCTTTACCAATCACATAATTATTGAAACAGACAGCAATTTCCATTTCTCAGTCCTTGCAAAGCCCTTCTGTGATCTTACACCTTGTTCTAGGGGACAAATGCCTGTGGGCTTTCTGTAACGTCACATAACAGACAGCTGCAGTGTTAGTGCTAGTAGTATTAATTAAACATGAAGAAACAGTTGTATTTCCCACTTGATTACAGCGCAGTACAAATTACTTATTACCTCAAAAAATCATCACCTGTATCAAAAGATAAAAAATCTAGAATAGTTTATAAAACACCTCCAGAATAGCAAACCATCAGTCTTAAAATGGAAATGACTTTACGCTCGTGAGCGACCAACACGCTGCGGCAGAACCACGTGCATTTCCCAGCTGCTTTCACTCCAGCTGTGCCCCAATGCTCCCCGCAGCCATGGGGCGCGGTGCTCGCGGACGCTGTCACCGGAGGCAGAATTGGCCGCACGTGGAAGTCCACTATCCATAAATCGAAGGTATAAAGAAGTCTACCGCTGAAAATTGAATGCTCTGACATCATTTTTATTTAACTGTTTGCAACAGCACAATTGCCACGTGTTTTCTCCTGGGCCAAACGGCATGCTCTGACAACAGCAACAGAAAAATTGTGCATGTTGCATTATGCAATTCAAATACATCTGACTTTTTTCCTACAATTAAGCTCTGTACCAGTTAATTTCAAATAGAGTACTGCTTCTCCTAGCTAGCCTTTTCTGTTGAGTCATTTATGTGACGCGAATCAACTTCAGGATATAAGCCAGGTAAAACAACAGCCAGGTAAGGCACTTCGTCAGAGGGCACAGGCGTCCAGGCTGAGCAACAAGCGACCGGTCGGAGGGACGTTCCGTTACAGAGGACAGTCTTCTACAGTGACTGCCATGGCAACCGATTTCAGAACACTTACTGACCTCCCACAGGATAAGCCTGACATTATGGCTGCCAGATCACCGCACCGGCCTACTGCAGGATGTGCAACAGCGAAACATTTCATACGTGTAAATACTGACGTTTGCAGGACTACTCAGCATCCTTACAGCACCCGACCCACCATAACCAACCGCTGGATACTACTTGGAAAAAAGCCTCAGTCAGGAAAATAATCTCATTTCACTTTTTTTTTTTTTTTTTTTTTTTTTGTGGGGGGGAGTGAAGGGGGACTTGGAGGGAGGAGGTTCCTTTTTTTGTTTTTTTTTTCTTTACAAAATTTGAAGGCTTGACATTAAAACTTTGGTATAAGACATGCAAATAAAAGCCATCCATTAATATATCACAGGGAGACACAATGAATTAAACCAGAACTAAAGCAAGCTTATTGCATGGATATGATACTGGCTATTTTCTAGTATCTCATAGCTTCTACATTCTGCTTGTTCAAGAACTCCAAAGAAGTCTGATGCACTTAACAGGGCCTTTCTTCACAGCCATCCCACTTCTCCAGCTCTTCCACTGGCCAGAAAAACGCGCAGCCCGGGGCTGGGCAGGACAGCAGAAATCCCCCCAGCACCGCCGGGTGCCTCGCACACAGCAGCAGCACCAGGGCTCCTGGGCTTCCAGGTCCCCAGCCGTCCCTGACTGCCTGCAGCACAGCCCCCCACCGCACGGCGCCGCGCAGGGCTGCCCTGCCCTCATGAAATACTGGAAATTTCATCACCGACTCTGGCTGGCTCAGGATCAAGGAAAACGTAACCTTCCACTGCCTTACACTCAGCCGCACATTCCACTCCACAGCAAAGAACGGAACTTCAAATTTGGTTCTAACTCGAGCAACAAGGCAGATGCCCAGATCCACAGACGCTGGCACTGGAAGCTGTGGGGCAAATCTCCGGACACGGCTCCCCAGGACTAACCGGGCCATCCTACCAGCCTAAAAACTTCTAAGTGAGTGTTTTCCAAGTAAATACTTGCAATAATTTCTACTTATTTCATTAACAGTAGTTTATTTTTTTAAGCCAATTTTACTATTAAATCATTATTACTTATTTATTCAGTTTATTGATGACAAAATTAATATGGTATTGCTTTTATTTTCACAGTTCTCTTAGTTATATCATAAAGAAAATGGCTTTTAAATTTTCTTCTCAGAAATGATGATCGCTTACATTCTAAATAATTTATTTTCACAAAATAGTGAGTGGAGTGATTTATAACATTTATATATATTTACTGTATATAAATAATAATGCAATTTAAAATTTTCACTTTTAGAAATTCCTTTAGTAAATGCATAGGTTTGTTACAAAAGTCCTCTAATCAAATAACTGTATACTACTCTGTTACACTTCATTCTTAATAATCCCTACGGTTACATTCATATGATAAAAAAAGCACACCGTATTCAGAAATGAGCTTTTTCAGTTGAGGTCCCAGAAAGAGCCTGGGGTCCAGTAGCGACATACAGATTACCTAATGCAGTTCCTTTAGCTGCAAACTAATTGCATGGTGGTTAAAAGATGGTAATAAGCAGACCACGGACCGTAAGCTCAAATCTCGCAGACAAGTGAGATTTCTACTAACAGTGACATGTGCCCATGATGTTACTGGCTTAATTCTCTCGGACAACATCCGAGTAATAGGGGTTTCAATATTCACTGCCACACGTGTGATGAGAATAGAAAGATGATGAGGACAGAAACCATAAGTCAGTTTTCAGAAGCTATATTTCTCAGCCCTTTCTGTAAGTCAAGTTTACAGTATCTCAAGTGAGGTTCTCAAAAACCGAAGGTGCCCAGTCACCAGTTCAGTTGGAAACGGTATGCCTTTATTTTACATTATCTAAGTCCAAACGAGAACCACTCATTTGTGCTTCGGGGGGAAGAGCTACGGTGCCTGCTGGATCACAGAACTCACACCAGCACCCTGCTACTCGTACCTCCACTCACAGGACTCCATGACCCCATCATGCCCATGACTCCAAGCAGGTGGGTGACAACACTCGTGCATTAGCATCACCCCAGGCCTACTGCATAAAGGATAGCCTGTCTGTCCTTGTTGGGATTCAAGTGATCACAAACTGAAGCCGTAAGTCAAAGAGCAAAAATCATTTTGGAATATGTATTGTCAGTAAATTTTCCCCAGAAATAAGAATTCAGATCATTTGGAAAAGAATTTGCCTTTCTCTTTGTGATAGCAAGAGACTCTTTGGGCTAGCAAAGTATTTCCAGCAGCCAAATTCCTGCCATGGATTTAGAAGAGGTATGTCACATGCCAGCTCCTGAAAGTGGCAATGGAATACCTCATTTAGTACTGTGGAATACGTGAAAACTAGTAGCACGCCTCAGAACCTTTTTAGTTCAGCTCATGGCAGTAATGGACTCTGTAGACAGAGTATAAGATACTTTTTATGAGCAGAGCTGTAACTTGACCCAGCGACAGTTCTACTAAAGGGAGGTTCATAGGCCTGAACAGAATGTTAATATGCTTTTCCTAAAAAAAAAAATAAAAAATTCTAACAACCAACGATCTTAACGAGTCTCAAAGAGGACACCAAATCTTTTGGAGTTTCTTCCAGTAGCCAATTAATGCTGCACCATGAGGAGACTCCAGTCCAATATCTTATTTTCGTATCTTACTGTATAAGCCACTGAGAGACCAGAGACTGCAGGAAGTGCACGCCTTGGATCTCAGAACCCATGCTGCCATTGCAGTACCTACTGAGAAGCCTTTCTGAACTAGGCAGATGCAGCGGAGGTCCTGTGTGCACATACAGCCAAAACTTCCTTGCAAGGAAAACAAAATATCGCGTTCCATTTTCCTCTCAGCGCAGCTCAACTTCCTCATAATGTAGAATACAAAGACTCACTGAAGACGGGATATTAACACAAGCATCTGTCTTTTACACATCAGCTAGGAAATGATACCTTTGCCAACGTGGATCAGACAGAACTTCGTCTGCGTGAACCACAGATCTCTCTTTGAAGCACCATGGGATCCTGTCTCAATTATATCATCTTTCAAGCACAGCTCAAAGAAAACTTCACTTTAAGCAGCACCAACAGAGAGAGCAGTCTTCTCAGATTGCTTTCTTCAGGACTACACGTACCATCATTTCTTAGAACACACACTTGTCAACGGGATTAAAACCTTATTACATTTCAGTGTAGGGAACCATTAATGCATGTATAATCACAGTTTAAATAGCTGACAACCAGCATGTACAAAAAATACAATCATAGCACCATATTTACAGATTTAGTAGCATCTCTGGTTAACTAGAGACTCCCAAACTATCTTTTTTATGGCTAATTAGGTTACATTTAGTGCTTTCAAAAAATTGCCTGAATATCTTTTACAAATATACACTTATAAAAAGAAATGTTATCAAAACTGCTGTCATTTAAGGCAGCAACTTGTGTTAAAAAAGTTATTAAAACATTATTATAGACTTACAAAAGCTTCAAATTTACATTTTTTCTTTCCATAGGCACTCTATAGACTAAAATGTGGCCTTGTTTCACAGCTGTTAGCTTAAGCTTTTAAACTAATAAAACATTATCAATGCTGCTGATTTTTTAAAGATGTAAGCAAGAGGAAAAAAGAATCACCCATTAACCAGAAGCATCATTTACAGTATTTACTTGTGCCTAATTTACACACATTTTGCTTAAAAGTGACACTGTTTTGATGCTGAGGTTTATTGCATGTTATCCTATTGCCTTCTTAGGGCTTAGCTCCTTCTTCCCTAGAATTCGGTGGAGGCTAGCTGACATGAAGTAGGGTTTTGCTGTAGATCCATCATTTCTTTCCAGGTCTTCACCTGAATTTACACAGCAAAGCAGCAAACAGCAGCACACCAAACACACGCATGAGAGAAAGAGAGAGAGTTGAGGAACGGAGAGAGCAAAAGAATCAATATTTTAAAAACTCTCAGGGAAAGTTCTGAATCGTTAAAATGCTGAAGGACACCACAAAACTTTTTTTCACAAGTCAGACATTGTTTTACATAAAGCAGAGGCACACACCTAATTATTTTAAAGTGACAGCCACGCATCCCTTTTGTTCTCCATTCCTTTGCTCTGGAGCTGTAAGTGAGGTTGTCAGGAACTCACAATGCCTCCACAATGCTGGTGGCCACGTTTTTTCTAAAGCAGCCCACATTTTGACCAGAGGTAGCTTTGGGTTTAAGCATTTTTTTCAACTGGACCTTTTTCACTGCTTGAGATGAAGCTCTCCAAAAAACCTAGTGCTGCCAGTGCACAACATCCTACAGTATTTCCTATTGTATGACAGCAAATGGAAGCACGGGAAGCAAAACAGAACATGGATTTAAAGTAACGAGATGGTTGTATTCCTTGTTTTCCTACAGAAGGTTGTGTGTACATCACTGGTCTGGGTTCAGCCCAGCGTTAATGCCTCACACAGACAGGTGAACAACTTCACACTGAGGGGCAGTCTGGAAAGAGCGTGCAGTGGAGAAGGGTTACTGCAACTGCAGCCTTGCAAAGGCAGGCAGCTGCTTCTGACAAGCCAAACAGAAAGCACTAGTTGCATGGAACGGCCACAGATGTCAGAGAACGCCAATCTTCACGACAGCATGTCGTGACATGACAGCATGTACTGCACGTATAGATTAACTGTAGGCCTCTGGGGTAAACTAAAATGAAGATCTGATAGTTTTGAGTGTGCCAACCAACTTCCTAAACTTTATCAGTTTGATTAATTTGCATTTTATTCTCAACTTCTTAACTATAACTCAAGTTAATATTCTTAACTTGAGTAACCATTTATGTGCTTATTTGTTTTCATTTTAACTTATTTACTGGATGATTATTAGTAGTGTTAGGTGGATATCTGCTCGTGCCTCTAGCGCTGACAAAATGTCTTAGGGCATACCAAATGCGTGTCCATAAGCTCTTTTAAGAACCCCCTATTGTTTTACACTAGCCTGGTATTATCTCACACATAAAACAGATCTTTCAAATGTACAGGGATAATCAGTCATGAGAAAAGAAGGAAATTCCTAGTATATTTTGTCTTTTGCATAAAACACTCTGCAATACATGCTGAGAAGAACCAGTGGTATGGCCTCAGAATGACAGGGCTGCACAGAGCGCTGCTCATTTTATTTCAGCCTTCACTCAGTGAAGTTAGTAACAGTTAAAGAACATCTGAAGAAGAAAAGCCAGATATCCATGTGAGCTGCAACTCCCTTCTCTTACTTTAAGACTGAGACACACTTCTGCACACAAGCATGCATCGAAGAGTGAGTCTAAAAAGCAAAGTAATACTTTTCCTCACTCAATCTCCAAGCACGTAAACAGAATTCTGTAAGGAACAGAACAGGTGCTTTTGTACTCCTCCTGTGACTCACAGGTATTAATGAAAGAAAACTCAGTACTTACAAAAGCAGAGGAAAAGTGTATCAACACACATTGCATAGACACTGAAGAACCCGTGTGCCACTAGGTAGGAGCCAATAATGACAGTCTACAAAAGACAAACCACAATAAAACCCCAAATGTTAGCTCGACACCAATGTGGCGATGTTAACACAAGTCAGATGCCTACTCTGCTAAGCAAACTTTGGAAGATTTAATTGCATCTCCTTAATTTTGTTAGATGCTACTGATGCTGTGGAAAGGGATTAGACATTCAAGACACTGCATGCAGTAGCCACCAGTTTTTCAGCTGTCAAACTGAAGCCATTTCAACCTCCATGGAGAATATCTGTAAGCACATTCTGAGCTCCTTCAAAAGACAGTAATCTAAAGAATCACTCATCCTAGAGTTGTTCCACAGTCCCCATGGGCTGCTCTGTAGCAAGAAAAGGGACAACACAGACTTTTTCCATTAGAAGCCACAGTGTCACTGGTGCTTCACCATCAGCCTTTGCTGTTTGGGAAGCCTGAGCAAAGAAAACCTGAAACCTTTTTTCCCAGAAGGTGCAGAGTTACTGCAGTGCGACTTCTGTCTGAGCAACCCAGAGGAGCGGAATATAACAGAGCTCCTCACTGAAGAGCACGACAGCAGCTGTTAGCAGAGCACACCCTGACTAATCTGAACACCTCAAACTGCCTTCTGTGTTCAGGGGGTTAGACAGTTGCCTTACCAACAATGGTACCCAGTAGTAGTTTAGTGCTGGTGCTTCCTGGGCAAAGACTGGTATTCTCTGTGTGAAGAAGAAGAACGCGAGAACACCTGCAAGAAGCACAAAAGATTAGCAATTCCTGGGGTACCTGATTTCTGAACACCTAAAGGAGGGATGTGACAAGAGCAACATACAGTAGGCCCAAGGTTGGTTTATACAAGAGTCTGTGAACGATACATTTCTCCACCCTAATTATCTCCTGGATCTGTATTCTGAACAGAAGAGAGATGTACATGAATCAGTTACCATAATGGTATTCATAGGTCCAGGAAGACTTCAAACAGTTGCTTTATTTCACCACTTTGCTGGATTTAATTTCAAAATGATGATGAATAATAATGAAGATGACAATAATGTGGGATAATAACAAAGATGAGTGGGTGGATTTTTTTTCCTAAAATAAAAGCAGTCAGCAAAATCCAGCTTTAGATTCCATTGCTTGAAGAAATTCTTAACTATTTCATAATAAAATAAAAAGAAATAGCAGTGCTAGTGAAGTACACAACAGTAGATTTAGAACAGAACAGCTCATTTAAAATGGAAGTAGTCAAAAGAACTTATTTTTGAAGAGAAAGAAGGCACGAATGAGTTTCAGTACTTCATGGCTTACATTTCAAAAATATTTCAAATCAATTTTGTGCCCCAGCTTGCAAGGCCTTCTGCAGTAATGACAGAAAAATTTAGATCTGGTCTTGATAATAATTTTCAATTTCTACTCACAATATTGTTCACCAGTAATCTTTTAAAGTATACAAAATACAAATTACATTATTAGTAAAACAACGTTTTGAAACTGCTGTCACAACATAGATAAGCTGTAAAGAAATACTACCAACCTGAATTTCTCCAAGTGTTTCATTTTTAAAAGATCAATTCAAGCCATGAAATATCAAAAAATATTTTTTTATATTTACTGACAGCAAAGAAGAACTGCGTGGATATTATAAACATCTTATTTCTTTACTTTTGGTTGGAGATTTTTCTGAATGGGACTGAATATGGCACGACTTCATGCCCACCCCTGCAGACCTGCACCACCTCCCTCGTGTGTGCTGCCTGCTCCAGGTGAACGCAAGGAGCTCCTCTGCTCCGCTCTCGTGGAGAGAGAACGGATCATGGCTGATCTGTGGGGTATGAATTTGGTTTGATCCAGCTGCAGTGCTTTGGCTGCAGAAGTCCAGAATGTTAGCAACACCTGCCAGCCTAACAAAAGCAATTACAGAAAAGATGCTGTACAACCACACAGGGAATAAAGAGGAGGAAAAAGAAAAAACATAATAATTCAATAGTCAGACCAAAGAGAACCTCTTAACTGCTAAGTAAGCATACATGAACACGGGAGGCACACTTGTAGGTAACAGTAAATAGGAATTTGGAAAAAAATCAGTCATCTTACCTACACCACCAGCTACCAGAATTTTCCCCAGGAATAAAAGAAAGTCTGTGACTTTGTCCAGAACTGCAACTCTGTTCAGCAAAGGACAAAGGATACATAGTTACCACAAACCTTCAATTTGTGTTCTTCTTCATTACATCTATGGATAACTGACAAAAGCTGGTTTCACAGACTGACAATGTAACAAAAGCAGCATTGAGAAGAACTTCATTACAGCCTAATCCAACGAGGCAAAAAACAACCCAAACAACCCGAGCATCTTGCTGAATTAGGCCTTAACAAGGCAGGCCCAGTGAATTAGGCCTGCAGACTGCCTATTGCCCTTGGTAAAAAAAACAAAAATTAAAAAAAAATTAAAAAGTGTCAAAATATCCTTGTTTCAAACTTCCCGCTAGGGTCACAGACAAGCTAGCCCAAAAGAGGCAAAATAAACACCACAACAAAAAGCAAAGTTTATGCAGACTGTTGGCAGGTCCTCTTCTCTCTTGGTCCCATCTGGCCACATTTTGTGACTTCATGCCAAATCCACATCGCTATTTTAAGATACATGGTTACACTGAAGGTAGGAGCTCTCAAAGCAGGGGGACAGCCACTGATGAACGAATGAAGGAAGCCAGACAGAAAAACAGTAAGCCTGCAGACTTCACTGAAAGCAACAGCTGCCGCCTTCTGCTTGAAATCCTGCCAGCCTGTCTTATCAGAAATTGCAGGTAAATAATGGTATGGAAAACGAGCTTCGCATCATCAGCCTCATGCCAGCAGTGACAGCTGTGCATAGGGTAATATACCGTACTGACTGCCATGATGGATGAGCATTAACAAATATTAAAGAGAATAAATCATTATTAGCCCATGGGAGATCAAGAACTGAAAACACACAAAATAAACAAAACAATAAAACTGTATGTCTGCATTTTAGCTATTACTCCTATTAAGAGCAGAAACACAAAGGACAGTGAGGTGGTAGTTCTGAGAGGAATCAAAGGCACCTTCTTTTTCCTCCTGCAGAGGCAGTACCTGATACAGACACAGCACCTCTGTTCTGATATTAATGCAGGGTAACAGAGTGGATGTATTCCATTTTCCCCCATCCAGTCCTTTCCTCCTCTATTTTAAGCACTGGTTCCATTTTGGTCTCTTTCAACATCCCCTTCAATTCCTCTCTTCCTCCCAGCCCTTCACTAAATAACATAAACTACTTTCCGAGCTGTTTGAGCAGGTCCAAAGCGGGGACACGAGGGTGCTCAGAAGGCTGGAGCACCTCTCCCGGAGACAAGCTGAGGAGACAGGCATGCTTCAGCCTGGAGACAAGGCGGCTCTGGGGAGATCTCACTGTGGCCTTCCAGTACAGTAACAGGTTGATATGCACTGGATGGGCTTTAAGGTCCCTCCCAACCCCAGTCATTCTATGATTCCATGATCATCCCATTGCTTTTTACGCACAGATCTTCTCACATAGGGCTTCCATCAGTTACTTACAGGCAGAATTACAATCTAGTATGTGCTTAGGATTCTAAAAGAGCAACCTAAACGGAACAGTTACATTAGATCAAGTTTGCATAGGTTACTATGCCAGACAGCTCCCTTTTACAAACTGGCTACTAGAAGTGATGGCCATGTCTCTAGACAGAACCAGTAATGGTTGGAGCAGAGGTGGAAGAGGAAGGAAGTGTGTCTTTGCAGAGCAACAGCAGCAAACACCGACGTTTCCAAGGACAGCAGGCGGCCCCTTACCTCACCACGTTTCTCATGAGCAGAAAGAACGCCTCCTTTGCCGAGGTGCAGAAGTTTTTACCATATATGGCAATCTGCAAAATAACAGCGCTGGTAAGGACTCGAAAGATCAGGGCGCGCCCGGCACTGAGGATCACGCTCCCTAGCGCACAGCTCCCCCTAGCGCACGGCCCGGGAACGCTCCGCGAACACAGCGCTTCTCCCAGGCCCCTCACGGCGCTTCCCGCCACTCTGCGGCACAGCACCGTTCATCTCTCTTCCAATCACCTGACTCTGAGCGTGCTACCCCTACAGGTCTGAAAGGGCACAACTTAGCTTTCCAAAGAGAGCAAAAAATGCTTCTTACTGAGGGATTCTTCTCCTTGCTAGCTACCCACGTGAGATTCATACCCAGTGGAAGAGGAACAGGTGCTTGAAGAGCAGAAGTGAGTTGAGCCATTTAGATAAAGACTTGGACCTGACTGTCTCAAGAAGAAATCAGCAATATCAGTATCAAAGTCAGTGGATTTACGTCAGCACGAAGTATGGCCACTGAAGTGACAGAGGAACAAAACCATTTCATCTTTCTGGAATAACGTCTACAAAGCGGGCAGTGTTTAGAAAGCTCTTCTGGAGTGCAGTCAGTTTGCCAGCTGTAAACAGGATGTTCAAAAACAACAGCATGGGTCAAAATGGACCCGTTAGTCCCACTTACTTTGAGATAATGCCTGCGACTAGCATTCAATCACTTACATTATTTCAAGTCAGAACATCCTCAGGTGAAAAACGTAATCTATTTATTTAATGACAACCTGGGATTTCTCTTTCAGAAGCCAAAATAACAGGATTTATTTTAGAGTAATATCACTGCTGCTGCTAATAGAATTCGTGCTTTTGCCTTCCTGGACAAATACAGACACCACACGCCTTCTGACATCCTTATTCAAACGCTGCCTCCAAGCAGAAGTGTCGCATCAACACGCAGTAAAAAACAAGTCTGCGTTCCTGTTGAAGTAGGACTCCTGCTGCTGAATCAGAGGGAGGAAATTAACCAGTGCTGCCATTCCCTTCCACTTCCTTTGTAGGGAAGGGAGAAAGGACAAGGACAGGCAAGAAAAGGAAAGAACTTCGAAGAAAAAAAACCCCTTACTTTTCCATTGTAGCACCACATGCACTTCCTGAAAACTCCCACAAATCACTTTATTCATTCAGCAGATTCTAGTACTGCTGGCTGTTTACCAACTAGTAACTGCTAGGGTATTTTAGTGTCCCAGACAGGGCAGACCACATGCAAAGACAGCACATACCATGATGTAGGCATTTCTGTTTATAAATTTTAAGAATCTTTCCAAACACCAGAAACAGCATTTGAGGCAGCAGAGTAGAAATCTAGTGAAGGAGTTCTGTGTACCTGAAAAAAGGAGAAAGCACATCATAGACAGAACTTAGGAACAGTCTCCAGAAAACAGAAACACGTTGAGAAGAAAATCTTAAAACTGTGGCGAAAGCAGAAATGTTCTTTTCTCCTGGGTACAGACTCTGCTTCCTAACCAAATTTAGCTCAAAAGCTTTCAGCTAGATGAGATTCATGCCCCACGTGAACTCCACATTGAAGATCCAACTCACTCAATTTCAGCAAATCATCACAAATTCCATGGCTGTCAAATAGAACTGCAACGGCTAGTGCTAATGTGGAAGTCATCTCTTTTCATTTCTGAAAAATCATCTGGAGAAAGGAAGGAAATAATTTACCAAAGGAGCTTTTAATAACCCAGTGCCGATTCGTAAATCCCACCTTTCAGTTTGTGATCCAAGTACTCCAGTATTACTCTGATCAGCTGGACAATTGCAAGAATTAAGGCTCCAAATGCCAGTGAACCAGTATGGTATCTAAAACAAAATAAATGCTATTTGATGGTTGCATTCACATTAGTTAGTTCAGTCAAAACTTTATCTTAATCACAGTGGCACTGAACACGCATTCCCTGTCAGCACAACCCTTTGAGCAGTGCTGGAAAAGACGTAACTTTCACAATAAAGTCAGCCCTAGTCTGGGCAGAGTATGCATGGGAGATGTAATCACTGCAACCTAGCTGTAAGCTGAACTGTCAGCCAGTTATCTCATCAAGTCAAGAGAGGCTTTGAGTATCAAAAGATTATTATGAGCTCACTAATCCTATACCCAGGTTTTTAAAATGCGCCTATTCCTTACTTTCTATTAGTCAGCTATGCGCTTATTGACTCAGTGCATCCTCTGAGTTGACAGGAAGCATCATGCTTTTAATGAGAAGAGCTAAGCCTATAATGACAGCAGTTAGGGCACAGGACACAACACAGAGCAAAAATAGTGGGGTGCACATCCTGAACAATGCTCTGTCTTGCTTCACCCACACTCGTAACAGCAGAAGGATTGTCCTACCAAAAGCTCACCTCTGCAAGCACAGAGGCACAACTTCAGGGGGATCCCAAATGAGGCACTCAGAGGAAAGGACAGCCAACCCCAAGAGAGCCATCAGTCCCTTGGCTCAGATGTAAAGCCCATCAAGGTAAGTCAACAAGAATTGACTTCTTGAGCACCTTTCAGACTGGAGAGTGTTAATGACTTGGGGTACTGGACACATTCTGGGTTGCAAGGGAAGAGAATTATGAGATGCTTAGAGGAGGAATGAAAGGCAAGTGAAGGGAGGAATCAAGCTTGAGGAACAAGCATGGTTAAAAATGAGGGATAAGGGTAGGTACAAAAAGGCTGCATATAAATAGCTACAGGTCAGCAAAGTTCCCGGCCATGCACTGCATTTGATCAGTACAGTCTGACCTATCTTATTAAATTCCACCTCCAGCTATTTTTCTTAGTGAGGGACCTGCATGCCAGAAGCTCAACTAAGACCACAGGTTAGAGTGCCTGAGCAACTGTGGTGCCAGTAATTGGAGCAAATGAGAGTATGTGAGTGTGACTGCCAGCAGATATTAAGGTTAATTAGCTGGTGAGTAGCGTAGGCAGCTTGGGAGCCAAGTATGTGCATATTTCCCTAAAGCTGAAACTACAGGATGAGCTGGCTACTAGGGGGACCTGAGGGTCCTGGTCAGTCGCTGGAGAGATTGTAGGAGCTGCGGATCGGCTGAGACCTTTTTGTGTATTTGCCTCCAGGAGCAAGGCACCTGGAGAAAGAGGCTGCTGGAGGAACCAGGGGTTCTGAAAACTGCCAGAGACAGATGTCAAGGGTTACTGAGAGGTATGTGTGCGTACAAGCGCGTGAGTTCGTCTGTCTGCCTGTCAGTGAGGAAAGGACTGTGTAGGAACAACTGGAGCAGGGCTGTGAGCCTCAGGGATTCGTACATCCAGCTGCGAGTAACTGGGGCGTTTGGGGATCCAAGCACCAGCTACTGCACTAACAAGAGTCTAAGGCTACTGGCGGGACATGCGCCCTAAACATCTGTGTGCATGTACGATTATATATTCATAAAATTGGATAAAAATGTAGGGGATGATGGGAGCTACATACACCAGCAGACCTTCAAACTGATCAGTAAGGGACTCTGTAGAGGGGAACAGGCTGATGCCACTAGGGCTGCTGGTGTTCGTGCAAGTACTCTGTGCGTGTGCAGGTCAACCTGCATGGCAGCTGTGTATGTGTGTGCTGCATACATGCATTTGGGTGTGTGTGCCTACTGGGAATAGCTGCTCAGCTTTTGCAAGGCTGGACCTCGCAGCATCAAGATACAGCTGCCTTGCCCTGCTGGGCTACTGGATTCATGATCCCCCTAAAGAATACACTTCCGGGCTAATCATTTTCAGTTTATATTCTCCATCTGGCTTCCTTAACTTTAAAAAGAGCACTTGTTGAATAAGTTACAAGGCTCACACAAAGCTTCTCAGTCTTACCGTATTGCCCGTCCAAATGAAGAGAAGAGCGGCCACAGTGGAATGTCAGCTGGTTTTCGAGAAGCCCAGTAGTAAGAGGCAAAGGCACCAGCAAGGGTACACTGACCCAGTGCAATTGCAAAGTTTACCAGCCACAGAAAGACAAAGGCATTGGCTAACTGAAAGATGAAGATGTACTTATGGTACAGGCTTTCTCCTCCATAAAAAGCAAATGTACATTGAGCACCTGGGCATAATTTTGTTACATTGGTTGTATTAAATGTCTGCATAGAAAGAAAAAGAAACAACACAGTGAATTCTGTATAGAGTATCTCTAGGTCAGTGGCAATACAGCATCGTATAATTCTGCTTGATGTTTCCTTAACTTATCCAGCACTGCATTCCAATAGTACATGAGCTTTTTACACACTTCAGGATTTATGCTAATGTCTTATGCAAAAGCTTGACTTTAATGTAGTTAGCAAAAAGGGCTGTTGATCACTTGCCTGAAACAAAAATGAATGGAATTTGAATTTCAGGAGTATCCTTTTAAGATACATACATTGCTATGGTTTCATTAAGGAAAACACACCCAGGTATATACTATTTGTTTGAAAACAGTAGACCAAATCAGCACCTTGGGTAAATCACTCATTTGAACTGAACTGAAGCAAAGACAATGAAATAGAAACTTTACAAATTCAAAAACAACTTTCCAAATAAATCTGTATTTTTCTTTCTTTCTCACCCTGTAAAATAGAGCCACTAACATCCACCTGCCTTATAGCACAGTTTAGAAGAAAAATTAGTTTGTTTGTAAACTGCTCTGAACAAAGGAGTGTTATCTGAAGTATACTAGTTGCAGATTTAACATAAAGAATAATTATTTTAAAATATGCATGTTTCCTAGCATTGCATTTAATAGCAATTAAGAAATGCAATTAGTGTAATTTTTACTAAAGGTAAACACTAGTTACACTTACCTCTGGGTCACAAGTCAGGTTTGCATACTTGCACAGTGTTTGATTAGCCATTACTTTATACACAGGTTCTCCTGATGTAGCTAGAAAACTTAATGAAATGTTTTAAGGAGGAATCACAGAACTAGGCTTTGAACAACTTAAGACTCTGCAGTGGGGAACAACTGGTATTAAAGAGCCTGTGTAGATAATAGGAACATTATTTTTGCTATGCAGGTATGTACACAAGGGTCTGAAAGACATGACAGAGCATTCTCATTACTCAGAGAACTAAGTCAACCTCTATCTCTGAACTATAAAGCCTGACCAGAATGGGCAAGAGGAAGTGTAGGGGCTGACGTGCTGGAGAGGAGCTTGGCCTCCTGGGGGGCAACAGGTTGGCCATGAGCCAGCAGAGAGCCGCTTTGGCCAAGAAAGCCAACGGTATCCTGGAGCGCATTAAAAAGAGCGTGGCCAGCAAGTCAAGGGAGGTGATTCTCCCCCTCTACTCTGCCCTGGTGAGGCCACATTTGGAACACTAAGTACAGATCTGGGCTCCCCAGTTCAAAAAAGACAAGGATCTCCTAAAAGGGATTCAGCAGAGGGCCACAAAGATGAGACAGGGTCTGGAGCATCTCCCCCACAAGGAAAGGCTGGGTGACGCGGGTCTGTTCAGCCTGGGGAAAAGAAGACTAAGAGGGGGATCTGACATGTTTGTAACTACCTAAAGAGAGGTGGGAAGCAAATGGACGAGGCCAGGCTCTTCTTGGTGGTGCATAGGGATAGGACAAGGAGTAATGGCCTAAAACTTCAACACAGGGAGTTCCATACTAACATGCAGAAGAAATTCTTTTCAGTAAGGATGAGGGAGCACTGGAAGAGGCTGCCCAGAGAGGCAGTGGAGTCCCCTTCTCAGGAGATGTTCAGTACCCATCTGGACGCCCACCTGTGCGACCTACTGTAAAGTATCTGTTTAGCAGGGGGTTGGACTCAGTGGTTGGACTCAATGATCTCTTGAGGTTCCTTCCAACCCCTGCAATTCTATGAGTGCGATTCTGCAATGACCTTGAAGGTAGCCTCAGTCTCTCCTGCATGCCTACTATGGCAAGGCCGTTTATGCAGTGGTTCTTTGACTACTCTGCTTTGATGAAAGTAGACACAGAGCACAATGATAAATTCACATTGTCCTGAACAACCACATCTGAACATTGTGGAATGCGAAAGAAGAAAACTTTGTTTTCAAAAAGCAATGCTCCTGTTTCCAATATCTTGTCAAATCCCTGCTTTTCCAGGAACAAACAGTGGTGGCTGAGAGAACTCCATGCACTGTAAGTTCTCATTCCTCTCCTACGCTTCTCTGAATAAAGACCACTTGGAAATTCCCCAGCTAAGAGACCCCGGGCCTGTAGAGCAAGCAGCACATTAAATGCCATATTCCTTCTTTGCTGAGGAGTTTTTTTCAACTATTAAAGTCAACCTTAAGTAGTACACAAGGCCTTACATGATCCTTACTGCCTTGGCAGAAATTAAGTCCACTGTCCAAACTATACATTGCATCCAACTATGCAGTGAGAAACAATCTTGCATCAATGCAGCAACTGACAGGTAACTAAATAGGCTTCTTGATACTGGCTTGGTTCGGTGATATCACAGAGCATGATCTTCTCTTTTAGAGCAGAAAAACATCCACAGAGGTATACAGGCAGAAGGATACACAGCTGTCACAGCCCAGTAGGAAATGCAAATTGCAATGAGTATGAAGGTGACAATTGGGTAGAACAATGTAGACATTATATAGCCAATAGCCCTGTAAAAGAAAGAAAATACATCAGTAAGTTACAACAATTTAAGAAACACGCTTTTTATCAGCTCCTAATATAACCCTTTTTAGTTTGAGCTACTTGTTGATGGTGGTAGAATAATCTGGAGCTAGGACCTCAGAACTCCGCAGTTCTTTACTTCAGTATTTCTACCACTTCACTTCATTGGCACCAGTATAGCTGAAGTCATCTATTTGCCACGTTCAAGCCTGTCTTCTACCTGCTCTTTCTCCACTTCTGCTTCACAGATCCTGCCCTTTCTGGGCTGCAGACATCTGAAGACATTGCCCTCTACTGCCACATCCCACGCTGCTCAGATCCTATGCTTTCTCTTCAGACCCAGCATAGACTGAAATCACTCCTTACTACTTTGTATTTGAGGACTTTGTTCACAGCCCCTTTCCTGGCTTAAGTATTAGCTTGTTTGGGTAGGCATTCAGCTTGTCTTCAGAATTCCAGGACATTCTGACACCTTCCTGTGCATGTGCCATAGGAGAGCTGAAGTTTGCTGAAGAATAGTAAGCCTTGCACTGTTGAGCCCTTGAGCCCCTTTTTACATCAGGCCTGTTAGAGACTAGTAATCTACCAACACTTCCTGAGGCTAGAATGAGCACAGCAGATGCTATTGCTTTTCTGGCAGTTAATGGATACAGCCCCTCTGGGTACTGTGGTGTTCCACAGACAAATGCCTTCAGCTGGGCATGAGACACTGGATGCGATACTGCAGAAGACATTTTTTGTTCACTTAAGCTTACACACTGGTAACTTTACACACTGGTAACTTTACACACTGGTAACTTTACACACTGGTAACTTTACACACTGGTAACTTTACACACTGGTAACTTTACACACTGGTAACTTCACACTCACACACCTATTTCCACTCCTTCAAATTTTCTTTCACTGACTCCATAAGCTTATCACAAGCCTATTAGTCCCCACAGCCGGTCATTTTGCTTGTATGACAGGTGGTACTTCAGACCCATTTGCTCTAGAGGAAGCAGTTTTTGGAACATAAAAGGTGACAAATTTACTCAGCTTTTGCTGCCAAATCAGAAAATGCTGTGGGGGAATGCAATGGAGCTGTCTCATGCACTCAAGAGGTACATGCCAAGGTCTGAGTCTTTAAATACAGAAGTACATTAAGAGTCACAAAGGAGGACATTGCTTTATGCTGTCTGAGAAATAATCACTAGGTATTAGCAGAAGTTCAGTGCTGTATTGTTCAGTAGTTAATGGCAGCTCTGTTAGTTACTATTAAAACCACAGACTTATGCAAAAAAACTGCTGTCTCCTACTTTGGATTTCAAGTCAATTATTAGTATTATAACCGTTATACTTTTAAGAGAATAGTTAAAAGGTATTGAAAAACATAATTTGATTTCCAGTCATTAAAAAATATATTCTTTTTCTTCCTGAATAAACTGCATGGTCAGTTACAGTAATTACAGAGTGCACCTTGTGTTCTGCAAGAGAGCAAAACCACTGCCCTCCAGTGACCACGCTGCTGAAAAAGTGTAGAATGGTGCTACTTCTCAGCAGAAAGTTTATAACATTTCTGAAATCCTTGTAACTGTCGTGGCTATGAAGAAATTGTTATAGACAGTTAAAAGCATTCCTGAGAAATTAAAGAGTATAATTTAGTTCTGCCCATTTTAACTGCTATGCCCTACTTGTACAGTGACATAAGAAAGAAATGAGCACATGACTGAATGCAAAGCTTCAGCATTTCTTAATCACAAAAACCCCAAATTCTGATTCCTGAGGACCATAGTGCCAATGGGGGGGCAGAAAACGCACACAGATACACTCAGAGCTAAGTTTATGAGCTCTAGTAACAGAGCTCTGCTGCCAAGGAAGATGTTTTCAGCAGTTGTCAGTCAGAGCGTAGGCCTACCTGCAATGAAATCCAAGGGTCTGATTTTTCAAGCCCTTTTCCCCTTTGTTATATAACCAGTTTTAAAAGAACTAAGCCTAGGCACTGTATAAAACAGGAACCATTGCAAACAAAGTCTATGCAGATTTCAGGAAACACAAAATGAAATCTGCCAGCCCTTCAGCTAATACATCCTGCTCTGCTTTCCCCTTTGCTCAGAGTTGAAAAGAAGTGTCTTGGGCTGAGCCATTTTACAATGTCTGGTGGCAGAAGTCTCTTCAGATTCATTCTTGTCCACTCAGAAGTTCCACTGAAGCCAGAAGAATCCAGTCTTTCCAGAATAACAGCCACTGTAACGCTCCACCACCAGTATGGCACTTTGGAGACAATCAGTGACAGAGCAAGGTTGGCAAATATAGGTTCCCAGGCTCCTATTAATACTGTACCACACTCAGCATTTCAACCGATGCAACCTTTTACACTGAGAACACATAGTGCCACCATGTATGAACTCCTAAGGCAAGGAACTGAGATATAAGAAACGTCCTATTGCAAAACAGAAAGCAAAATCTCATCAACAGAGAATGAACGTTCCATATACTATCCATTATTCTCAACAAACCCAGTATTGCACATTCACTCCCAACATTGTAATACAAGATGAAGCTTAAGAAGATTATACCCTAGAGATCATTTTAATAAGTTTTAAAAGATTTTAAAGTCAGACAAACATACCTACTACCTTCCTTTAACAGTGCAATAGCAATCCGGATCCTATTTCTTAGGAAGATCAGCATCAATATGATTATGATCTCAACAACACAAAGTAATATCACTGTAGGTGACAACAACAAAAAAAGATCAAATTTGTCAAGAATCAAACGAACACAATGTCTTTGTAAATTGCTTTTTTCATCTCGTCTTCTATTTTACACTACTGTTCATGAATTCCAAGAGCTGCTCTGCTAAAGCAGATCTCCTTTCGTGTCACTGCTGCTAATTGCCAATTTCATGTCACAGCTTTCTGTGTGGCAGCACAGGGCAATTCAACATGCAGGGAATCAGTCAGAACGTAGCACCCATTAGCATTTCTAGTTTTAGAGGAAAAATGGAAGGTAGCATCCCAAGGCAAAGATCATCATCCACTTCAATATGACTGCAACATTTAACCTTAAAAACTGTTTATCCTTAGCAAATTATATTTTCCATAAACAAGCATTTTCCAAGTTAATGCTTTACTGCTACTAGTTTGCAGCATCTAGATGCAATAAAATAAATAAAAAGAGGAGTTAATTTTTTCTTGAAGAGTGTGTTTCTGTGACGCATATTGTCCTAACATTTAAATGCATTTAAATTATTCGTTTTGTTTGTGCATTAACTTGGTAGGAGCTTCTTTAATTTCACACTAGAAAAAAAAATAAAATAAAATAAAAAAAAGAGGCTAGGATAGAACACTTGGGCAAATTATTTGCAGCTTCCAGTCATGCTGCTGGAATCTTACAAACTGCCTCTGAGTTCTGAAAGCAGAGTGGCATGTCCCAGAACGTTTCTTCTGTTAGCAGTGTTTGAGTCATTAACCAGACCTGATTCAAAGAGTCTGCTTCAGTCTGATTTCTATTTATGCCAGTTCAAAACCTACTTTTACAGTAAAAAGAAAAAAAATAAATCTGGACAGCATGTTGGGTAGTCTGGGTCCTGAAACATCTCCTCTGACTCTGAGACACATCCGTAAGTTTGGGTGCTTTAAACAGCTAGAGGACATCTAAACCAGCCCTGTGGCTGTCAGAACTGCAGTTGGCAAATAATCACTGTGGTGATTATTTGTGCTCTGAGCAAAGTTTTTGTTACGTGTATTTCAGTATCTATTTCAATACAGGTTCTCATGAAATAAAAGATTATCAGGTTTCACTTCTCATTTCATTTCAGTTCTTTTAAGTTAACGAGACTTGTCCCATTGTAAAACAAAAAAGAAAGCAATGTTAATACATGATGAGTTCTAGACTAGGACTGAGAGGGCCCACATTTTCTTCAAGGATATTTAAACTGCTTTGCTGGGTGAAATAATTTAATTCCTGACCACCTCAGTTCACTCATCTGGAAGTGACACTGAGCTCCAGATAGATTCCATACTGGCTGCTAAGAGTCAGGCAGGAGATGAGATAGGAGAACTACAAGAGGTTGGAGACATAATGACATAAGATCCTCCAGAGATTGCATACTACAAGTATTTGCCTCAACAGTGCATAAAAAGATGCCTCACGATCTTGACAATCCACAAAACAGAGAGAGGAGATTAACCTCGACACTGCCATTCTATTAGTTCAGCACTCATAGGGAGAAGAAGAGTTTTATCCAGACTGTATTCCATTCATCATTCCAGCTAAAGAATCTGCATGCCTGTTAGTAGAGCAGTAACAGCAGTGGAATTTATATCTTCCACGCATTTGTTCTTCTTCTGTCCCTTCTTCCCCGGGGGGATGTGCATGCTGCAAGCTCTTATTCCAGTAGAATTTTGTTCTAAATATATGTGCACATGCCCCTGTAAGAGAAGGCAACAAAGCACTCCTGAAAACAAAGCCAATCTAATTTGTGAAGGGTCATTCCACAGCCTTAAAGCAGACTCCAAAAAAACCTGATCATAATGAGTTCTACCCAGTTCTTCAATGACCCGATCATAAGGAGTTCTACAAAGACGTGCTGTTATTAATCTTATCTCTGGGGCTCTCAGAGAGAATAAGTGGATTGGGAGAGAAAAATGCCCGTTTGCAACTTCATCAGGACTAACTTCTTCTTGCTCACTATGAAGACAGAACATACGGGAAGCGTAATACACAAGTATGTTTTTCACTGCCATCAGCAGCGTAATTGCATCATCTTTTTTTCCAAATATACTATCTTCCTTGCAAAAACCAGATATTTTATACAATACAAAGAAAAAGAATTCTTACCTCTCTGAGTGACGTGTTTAGAAGGCAGACACTGTAACAAGACACTGATTCATTTTCCTGAATATCCACTAAATGATACCAGTTTTAAAGGGCACTTACTAAATGCTAGCCACGTTTGCCTCAGTTGTAAGTACACACGGAAGTCTGTCTGGAATCCAATGTCGTAAACAGTGAGGTCAGATCCAGGTATGCCTTTGAGATGATCATACTCCCAGTAGCAGTGCCAGATGCCTTTTAAAAAGCAATCGATATAAAACGTGTATTTCTGAAGACTGCAAAGACAAGGTTTTTTTTAAATAACCTTCTACAAGCCAAGTGTTGTAAATGCATTACTGTGAGACCAGTAAACTATGAAATAACATCATAAAAAGAAATATCAGTACAAATGAATAGAAAGTGCACCACGGGTAGATAATTCATGTAAATATGTCTGCTGTTGTGACAGCAGAGCTGAATTTTTACTATGTTTTGCTGCCATTTAAGCCCTTCGCTATGAACCATGTCCAAAACCATACATTACTTCTCCCTGCTGTAAAATTTATATAATTACTGACTTTCCTTGCCCAAGCGTAAGGAAAAGCAGCCTCACAAGCTAGATTACACTTACCATAGCCTATAATTCCAATCACACCAAATATGAAAATCCAGAAGAGAACCCCAGCTGTGAACCTCAACAGCACAAGGAAGAGCAGGCTCACTACCATTGCAATGAACAGCCCGCTGCAGAGATAAGAGACAGAAACAAAAAGTGAGACAAGCGTGAGAATCTTCTCTATCACACACATCTGTGATGCCAAACAAAGGTCACTTCAGACAAACAAAAGTCCCAGGCTGGATGGGACTTGGAGCAACCTGGTCTAATGGGAGGCAATGATCTTAAAAGATCCCCCCCAACCCAAACCGTTCGATAACTGAATGCAACTACTTTAAAATTGCATTATATAAGCATCATATTTGAAATGTGGAAACTAGCTTTCAGAATGTATAATTTCTGTCCAAAACCAGTCATTTCCCTCTCCAGCCTACCTATGACATATCCTATGAAAGAACACGCACCATAGATCTGATTTCAATACCAGATTTAGGTAGAAGTGAGCTTGCTGAATATCCGTGTGATTTTCTTGCCACTGATAATTGCGAGCGAGCACAAAATAAGACAATGAAAAGCTGTCCTCCCACCAGTGGCAAAAAATCTTTAAAAGCTGATAATTTATGTTTCTCAATTGTTCTTCACGTGCAGTTCATTAGCCAAAGTTTATGTATTTATTGTTTTATGAAAGGATTTTCATTTAGGTTTGAGTAATATGTGCTTAATATGTGCATGTTATAGGCTCTTACTTAGGGAAAAAATTTAGCTCTTGTTTTGACGGACCCAAGTCCTTCAAAAATAGCATAAACAGGCTAAGAATGCACATTTACTGACACTTTTGCTTCAGGCAAAACACCCACTTTTGTTTCGGTGCTATTTTTATTGATTAGTGAGTATGAATTGCAAGATAAAGCTAATGCTGTTCAATACTTTTTGTTCTTGGTTTTGCTGCACTGTTGCATAGGCACTAGCAGATTTATAATAGACGTGGCCATATACTGTGAGCAAGAACTCACAAATAGTTCTTTCTCTCTCTCTCATATTGACACTTAGCAAGCATAATTGTTTTGAAAATCTTTAAGAGTTTCAGTTTCGGAATTACCACACAGATAGTTCTTGCAACACAAGATGTCCCCCCTGTTTTTCCTGGTAGGGTAACAAAAGCTGATTCCAAATCAACTGACATCCTGTGCACATGTGCTGCGCGCTGTCCTTCCCTCATGTCCCAAATCATCACATTGCTATAATGAGATGAAAGAAGTTACAGCTGCTCCTTGAGTTTAAATGTAGAATTGGCAACAAACACATCCATGATCTATTCTTTCCTTTCTTCACACTCCGATGTGGCTTTGGAAAATTTACAATCACTCATTAAAATCTTACATTAATATCCAATACCAAGAAATGGCATAGTCTTCAAAAATTTTCATTCCAACTGATCTTGCATCCAGGACATTGTTGATACCGCTGAGAAAGACAAACCAAGAAAAGGTTGCTTTAGGCAGACAAGCAGAATTGATTCAAACAGCGGATCGTCTCCAGCAAACGAATCTGAAATACCATTGCTAATCATATGACTACATGACTATTGCTCAGCTTCAGTTCCGTAAGCAAGCCAACATCAATCTCAGGTACGTCAAAGAAGATTCTAAGCTTAAAAAAAACCTTCAAAAAATTCAGAAAAAAGTCTACACATCTCGTGATACAGCTTTGTTTTAAAAGCTCAGTAAGTGCTAATTATTACTAGTCATAATTGCTTATTATGTCACAAGAAAATCATGTATTGTTAAGCATGTACTAAAAGACATCACTTGTGACTCCAGGAGAGTCTACCTGCAGTGTTATCATACATCACTTTTTGACGATTAGGCACATATTAAAAACAGGAGCACTCTTGTGAGATGAAATGCCTACAGTGCCAGGACAGTGCATGTCAGCAGAAAGGCTAAGCACAGGAAATAGCACAGCACATTAGGGTTTCATTTTTAGCCTTCTTCAACTTTCTTTACTGCTTTTCTTTATTTCTTTTGCTAGGGAAAAACAAACAAACAAACCAAAACATAACAACTATTTAAAAGCTGACAATTACTTCGAGACAATCAAACTAGAACTTTTACTTCCCTGCTCATTTCTGTATTCCATGGTGTCAGTTTCCCTTGCTGGAACTGTGCAGTTGCTCAGGCACAAAGAGACCATCTGTTAGCAAATCTTGCCCGGTCATCTTCAGCCTAAATTATTTCACAATCTCAGAATGCAACAAATGAGCAGTAAAGAATGGTAGAACCTACTTTGCAGCTTCCCTGAGATCAGTTACATTTCTTGTTTTCCCTCTTCCATCTTTGAATGTAGTCTGGTTTGCCACAGTTAAGACACCATTCTTTGTGGAGAAGTCTGGGAAGCATCTCTTGAGAACTGTTCAAAATACCAAAACAAAGCAAACACATCACATTTCATGACAAGCTTCACTTTCATCCTCTAAAAGCAGATGCAACAAATTCTATCATATTTAAATTGTTTCAATTTTATTATGTCCGTTGTTTTTCACTTGATGATCTATTGATATGTTGGCTTTGAAAGATTCTGGAAGAGTCAGTATATACAGTATGATATTTTTTCTACTCTGGGACATCTTGTCCTATGTTTGCACATGTTCAGGCATAACGGAAGTATTGCTTTCAACGGGAGATTTTAGGTGTTTTTCTATCAAAAACAATAGTAGTATTTGTAGTAGTTGCAAATTCTGTAAAAAATGCAGAATTACTCTGCCAGTATCTCAGCAGCTTACAAAAACTGCAGTGTCTGAAATATGTCACTGACGTGGCAATAATCAAACCAGTCTGCGGGGACAGATTCAACAGAACTGGTCACTAATGGTATTGAGACCCAAACCAAAACATAACTGCAAGCATCAGTGCCTCATATGGAAACTGCAACAGCAGTTACTGTCACTAGATATTCTGGGAGAAGAGGCAATGGAAAATAAATACAGAAACAATTGGTTAGATGAAAGGAGGGGTGAGTTGTAAATAAGAATAAAAAGGAGAGATAGGCACAGGCTCTGCTTTGTTGCCCGGCTTTTTCCTGCAAAATGTTCAGATTTTCATTTGGAAAAGGAGAGCAGATCACTCCTCCTACACAGCTGTTTTTTACATAACAATTCTGTGCTATCCTTATCTGGTTCCAACACAGAATGAGACCAGGGCTCAACATTCAGTCTAGAATATCTGTCCTACCAAATATTCTGAGAGTATAATCAGTAAGTCCCTCTTCCTCTCTCTGGAATCTCTGCTGCATAACGTAGTTTGATAGACACTAGCTCTGCAAATCACTTTTCTGACTTTTGGGTCACTATTTCAATTTTGTAAGAATTCTTAACCTTTTCCTAAGTGAATCTGTGGTGGGTTTTTTTTTTTTTTTTTTTTTTTTTTTTTTTTTTTACACCTGGCCCTGGTTCGCACAACGTCTACATGAAAAAGCAAACAGCAGTTTCTCATTTTCATGCAGTGGCAGATGCTCTTGGTACTCCACTCCTGCAGCTGAGACCAACTCTGAGGTCTATCAGAAATACCTGCTAGCCATAGAGACAAAAATGTCTTCATGCCTCTATTACTGATCTCTATTCCTTACAGAGCCAGCATTACAAGTGAAAATTGAGCTGCACTGTAATCAGGCTCAAGTACCCTCTGAACTTTAACAGCTGTCCACATGATCCTTTGTGCATTCACGGCGTTTTCTTGGAGCCAGTGGGGCTGCTTGCCCATGTGCTTAACTTGAATTGTAAGTTTTTTCAGTATTAGTGGTGATTCATGAGGAAGAAAATGCTCAGCTTGACTGGAGCACAGACAGCAGTTAGAAAAAAACATCTTTATACTTTTAGACTTTACAAATGATTGACAGTCACTAACAGGTAACAGCTCCTAGAGACCTTGCCACAAAACATTCTTCAGATCGGAGCTGTGCTTTACTGTGAATACTAAAAATCATCTAAGATACGTGTAAGAAGTAGAACCACTCACAAGGCCTGCTTGGAATGATCATCGAAGGACAATCTTCATCACGTAGGACTTGAGCAACAGACTAAAAAGGGGAAAAATAGGAATGCTGAATACACAGCAGAATAACAAAATGCCTCCAATTTCTCACCCAGTCTGAAAAAATGTCCCAAAATGGGATTTGTAGCCTCCTCCCTGAATTTGACTGGTGGAGCTACAAGAATTATTAATGTTGTGAGAATCCGTACTGTCAATGTGATTTTGGAAAAGACCATTCTTACTGCTTTTTCTATTAAAAAATTAAAAAATGAAAAACCTTCTCACGTTGGGTCTGCATCTGGGTCAGGGGTGACTGACAAATCGTTCCTTAACTCCTCTTGCTTTTTTCTCTTCAGGAGGAGTAAGAATTTAACACAATTAACTGAGTTGATTTGCAAAGTGTTTTAAAGATGAGAGAAACATCTACAGTACCATTCAGTGCAAAATAAATTTTGTTAAAGACAGATCAATTTTTCTAGCTACAAAATAGACTAAGCAGCATTAAGAACTTGGTTGAGACACTCTGCTTTACTGCTGTGGTGCATCTAAATACAGGAGAGCACTGCCTGCCACAGTCCTGCATGCACACGGGTAGCTGCAGGTATCTTTGTAAGCAAACAGCAATCACTGAAAGAGGGAACTCGGTGTGCACAAAAGATCTAAGCCATGAGTAAACCAGTGCCCAACCTTATACGTGGAAATGCTCCTAATACAGTGATACTGGAATAAGCCAAAGCTCTAATAGAGTTCAGTAAAATCAGGCACATTGCCTGAAGAATGAATGCATCCCATCACCTTTCGATGCATACACACCTTGCGAGGATTGTTAAAACCAGGTTTGCAGTACTGCCTGAAGTAATTCCACTGCTCTGGCCTATATCTGTAGGAAGCTTGAACATCAATGTAGGTTGCAAACCTGTCTGGGCACTTTGAGACACAAAGCTGCAAAAAAAAGAAAAATACATACATAGAATATCTCAAGTTGGAAGGGATCCCCAGGGATCACTGAGTCCAATTCCTAGCTCCAAACAGCACCACGCAAAACCTAAACCATGTCTGAGAGCGGTGTTATCTGTGGATCCCAGTGAACTGCAATGCAAGTTTGTAAATCCACAGACTTACTTTAAAACTGAGCCTCTTTACATGGTGGTTCTTGTTTTTCACTCTTGAACTAATTTGACATGAAAGGAGCAGGAATTAAAGATCTTATTTGCAGTTTAAAAGAGGCTCTGTCAAACTAAAGTCTATTCAGCATTTTTACAAACAAACAAACAAAAAACAGGGAATTAAACCTCTGCAGCAGCAAACAGGATTTAAGAACGTACTCAGTTTTGGAGATGTCTGAAATAAATAACTACCCACCCTCCCCCAAACTCTGGTTCAACGAAGTGTTTCATCTTTCTCGATCCACGACCGCTGCCAGCTTGAACACAGTACCAGTGAAATCCCTCACAATGATCTCAGTATTTGTGAGCAGGCTGAACTGTTGCAATAAAAAAGTCCAAGGACTGCAGGGCAACAGTTTCTGCGTCTTGAGTGTGAGTGGGTGGAAATTCCAGAAACAAATCTGCTGATTATGAAGTTTCCATTCTATCAGCAACTGAATAGAGTTAAGACTCCTGCTCTCCCTTCCCAGAGATTTTCATCACATCAGCTGTGTCAAATAATCTGTGCAGTCACAGCAAATAGGTGAGACAGATCTGGCAAGAATAGGAATTGGGAGAAAGCACAAGTTGGAATGGGAACCACTTTTCAAAGACAGTGAAATAAATGGACAGTTGACATCTGGAATCAGTAATCTGGTCACCAAAAAGCAGCTCTCATCCAAAGTAAGACTATATTTCACCAAACATTCTCAAGACGACTGAGACCAAACTATCATCTGTTTATTTACACAGAACAAATACTCTGGTAGCAAGGGTGGATCAGAGCAGTCCTGCCCAAACTCCTCTGACCCACCTCAGGCCATAATCTGTTGCTTTCCAAGATGAACTGACATCACTGTTTGCACAACTGCTCAGCAAACCAGACAATAAAACGGCCTCACGTACAGAAGATCAGAAGGGTAACTTTAATCCACATGAGTTCAGAACTGGAGTTACTGCACAGTTTCACAATCAGTTGCAGCACAGATAAGGGAGATCACAGATTTTGGCATTGGTCTGAAACAAGCTTTCTTCAATTTTGAAAGTGCCATAAAATCCAACCACACCCAGAAACTGCAGTCACTGGGGATATACGGGATACACACATTGCCACATACATGCCCAGTTTGGAAAACCCTAGCTGTCAATTAAAATGATTGTTTGTATACACTTATTAGTACTGGACACCTGCCTGCAAAAAATCAATGAGTAACAAACTGCTGTGTTAAACTAGACTTTCTTTTCAACTCTGATCTAAAATACACAATCTGATACGTTTCCATTTATTTTCTCTGATCATAACGGAACGCAGATACTTTATGCTGTGTATGTAATCTATAGAACAACTGTATGGTATTTAGCTGGAGATGAACAGTACTTTTAAAATCCAAACAAATGCACGTCCAGTTCTTAAGCACTACATCTACAAGGCAGGGAAAATATCTCTGTATTTCACTCACCTGTGTTGTAGGGCACTGCAGGTTAATTAACACTACCGGACTGGCACATTTCAGAATGTTAAAGTAAAACAAAATGCTCTTATTCCTAGGGGAGTGGACATAAGATAATTAATGTTATAAGTATAGGTGCTTGCATATCCTACCACATCAAAATTCACAGCGTGCATTGGTATTTTAATTCTATTATTTTAAAGTTTTAAACCAGTTTTTGTTCTAAAGAATACTAACTCTGAGCAGTTCTTCCACAGCAAGGGTTTAAATCCTCGGCACTGTTACATGGTGTCTCAACTGTGCCCCTAAGAAATGCAAAGCTATCCAGTAAAACATCAGCAAAACACTGCAGCCCCTTTGCTTGCACTGAACATGCTGAGTACTGCATACAAAATTACTGTCAACAAACTGTACATTGTAAAATCTGATTATTTTGCTGATCAGAAGGTGGCACCAAAATCATAAGCTTTTCATGGATGGAAACTGAAAGCAGCGAGCCAGGAAGCAGCATGATCATGCCATCTTACAAAGATGCCCCCAGCTCTCCCATGGTATCGATAAAGAGCAGCCTAAGGGCTTTGTGCCAACATCCCACAGCTCCTGGAAATCGGGGCCCTAAGGTCCCGACCGGGGGCCTCCTCTATTTGGATTTCTTGAAAACTGATGACTCCAAATGGCCCTTTGGATTTAAACACCTACTGTTCAAAATGATCAAAATGTGCCGGTAAAATCTTCTATCTCAAAATAGTTATCAACTACCTCCAGGGAGGATGGCACACCAGAAGTCCTGCCCTATCTATATAACTTCAAAGTCAGCCAGCCATGCCAGGACTGCTCGGTGCCCCCAGGACACAACAGAGCACGTATCCCACGGCCTGGGCTGCACAAGAGAACACAGCACAGCAGCCCTGAGCTGGTGCAGCTGGCACACCACTGACACACTGCAGCAACACAAGTGAGTTCTGCCTTGGGAGGAGGATGCTTAAGCCAAAACCAAAGTACTCTTGGAGTAGCCAGGCTGCTACTGTTGTAGTTCTCGAGCATCCCAGTGTAGGACATGTTCTCTGATTAGCACTGGGATTCCACCAGCTGCTTAGTCTGGCTAGATCTTCAAGACCATTACACTCCCCTGTATATATAACAATTACATCTCATTTTCATATATTCATTTTCAAGCTCAACTGCCTGATATTTTAGAATGCACATTTCTTTTCACTGGGGTACGTTCTACTACGTGCTGCTTTACAAAAAACTCATACTGGCAAATACAATTCATTAACTGCTATTTCTTCAAATAAAAAGAATAAAATTTTGGACTTAAATGTCATCTTTCTTCAACAGGTAGATTCCCAATATTTTTTTTTCTCATATCTTAGCACACTCACTTGCTGATATTAGAGTAGAAAATAAAGGTCACACATGTAGGTAACACAAGAATAAATCTGTGTCCTTTATAGAGAAACTGTATCGTATTCCATGATTACAAGTATGTCCTGTAGAAGGCAAACAGGCTTAGAGATTACATGGAGATTAATGGATGGTTTACAGGGAGGCACAAAGTGAACTACAAGTGATTTTCATGACAACATAATCACATTAAGTCTCCAGGGACTCTGGAAAATCATCACTGTGAGTTAGCCTTTCTCACTGTACACGGTACCCATTTAGGACATACAAGCACATTCCATACCTCCACTTTTTCCGACCAGAGGGATTTGTTTAGAGGTGCCTTCTGGCAGGCCCTAATGCTAATGTTGCCATGAACAATTCTGCCTGTACAGTGAATTTTATTATGTACCTTTTGACTAAATTTTTTTGTAAAAAAAACCTCCTCAATGGCAAATGAATGCCAAAATGCATCCGCAGTGGCAGAAGAAAATAGGAGCTTTACTACGTTTTCTTTTATGGCATTTGTTTCGTACAGAGGGAAACCAAGAAACTGCAATGCTCTAGAGACTACTCTTGCCCCAAGATGGATAGAAGAGCTTCTCTAGACTTTGCTGTTAGAAGATGTGCCAGCCAGTCACTTCAGTGCTATCAGTGATGCAATCTTAATTACATTTATACTTAACTAAAAATGTTCTCTGAATGATGACAACAACTGCTCTACAGTAATAATCTGTGTTTAGATTTCCTCTGAGCAACTAATCTAGTTCTGAACTTTATTTGGAATGCATGCAGTAAGAGGACGTCAAGTGTTGACATCTCTTCAACCTTGCTCAAGAACCACTTGCAGACAGAGGATGTGAAACCTCATTTTTTATTCATAGTGCACGAGTCATAGAGACAGGTGTTCAGGTTTAGTACTCACTCATTGAAGGTGTCCTTCTGACCACAGAACTGCCCATAGCTGTCAGTTGGATAAATCACTTTCCTGGGATCGCCATGTACCCAAGCTGCAAATATACATATATTTTAACATTATAGTCAAGGAAACAGCAGTAATGGTAATAGTTGAAATTCACCTCTCACAAACAGTTTCAATTTTTGTTGATGGCTACTGAAGGACACTGGTTTGTATATTTCCTAATGAAAAGCAACGACACAAAACAAACAACTACAATACAGATAAATCAGTAACAAAGGAAGTCAGTTCACTTTTTATCTTCAGGGCAAACATATCTGAGTTGGATCCAAAATCTGAAGTAACAGACTTTAAAAAACAATAGTTTTCAAAAGGTGAAAGAGGAGATGCTGCAAAAGTTCTGTTGGCTTACAGCCACAGAGAAACAGGGAGTTGACTAAGCAGAGAGATTAGAGTGTTCACAAACAACTGCAGTGGTACTGGAATCCATGGGATTACCCAAGTATGACAGGAACACACCGGCTGTGACTGAATCCAACGGACTCCACTCACAGTAGGAATGTAAACAAAAACACACTATTTAAATCAAAACATTTCCTGTTCTCTCACTTGGTAATTATCCCATTTTTCAGTTATCAGGTCCGTATCTGGCAACTTACACATATACATAGCTAATATACACCATGGGCCTGAATGGGAAACGAAATTTATCTTGAACTTCCTTCCTCCAATTTAAAACAAGCCTTCTTTTTCAAGCCATTTTCACGCGCGTTGTTATTTTCTGCTGAGAATGAAGTGCACACCATGCACTAGTGTCATCATTTCTAAGCTACAGTCTGCAGATCTGACTAAATTCCTTTTATGACTGGCCAATGATTGGTCTTTGAATTACTGACTACTAACTGCTGATCTGCAGTTTAAGTAACAGAAACTTCAATTTTTGAAGTATCATCTGGAAGTGAAATATGTAGAACATACTTCCGTATCAACACCCTGAGCTAACCTTCTAAAATCAGATTGCTGAAGAAGTGTAAAAAGAAGCCACTGATCATCTTCCACCCTTTCTCTTGAGACTGCATTATGTGCAAAATATTGCAAGCATTACAAAGATTTTGGTCCCTACCTTCCCGCTCTTGCAGAACGTACTGAAAGTGAGGAGCTCCCATAGCATGAACTTCAGGCTTTGACCTATGCACACCGTCTTAAATTTGCTTCTCTGTAGTTATCCCATTTTTTCTCCACTTCGCAGTATTAAATTTAGCCCATTAGGAAGCTGTAATTTTCCTCAAGGACATTTTGGTGAGAATAACTGTGCTTACACTATCACTCATTGTATGTGCAGTAGAGACTACCTGGACAAGATCTCAGAGAGCAGAGTGCAAATTCATTGGAATGTTTGGGATGGATACACAACACATCTTGGGTGACTTGCAAATAGTTACAAGATTGTCTACCAAGAGAGAATCTGTAATGCTACCTTTCACCTTGAATGGTTTTAGGTTACCAGAATGAATACTCCAGTTCATTTTAACACATATTAGTTTGCCCATGTTTTGGAGTTTGTAAATTAATTTGCTGCTTGGTATCAATTAATTTCTGAACATCCAGACTGAATGCATTTCAGATTAACTGGCATTCTGATGCTCACAGAAAGCTGAAGTGCTTCACTGATGTTAAACTCCATGGCAATTCTCATTAAATCTCACTTATTTCATTCGCCCTGGCTAATGGAACATTCAGGAGGTATCGGATAACTCAGTTACACGTAAGTGTATGACATGAGAAAGCAGTCAGCTCTCTGATTATTGCCTTGAGTAGATTTTCTTCAGTTGTGACTTGGGCAATAGGGAGTTTTCCTTCTACTATGATACGACTTTGTTTTTCATACACTTAAAAGTCTGCTGACAAATGGACCAAGCTCCTACACAGATCCAAAAAGCCTTTTGGGTTTTAGTTGTCTGCTGTTAAACAATTCTTCTACACCAGTGTTTTTCTAGCCCCAAACTTTTTATTTTTAGCCAATTTTTGCTTGGCACATTATTTTTCCATTTGATCACTTTTTTTTTTTTTTTAAAACACTCTCTAAGCAGAAACCAGTGGAGATAAACCTCACCACATCAGAGCCAAAGTTATTTCTCAACAGAATTTCTATTTAGACTGCTTGGCCACTGCCAAACTGCCTAAAACTTCTCTTGCCTGGCAGTACCTGTCCTGTGTGCACGAGGCATCTGTCTTGTTTTTAATCAAACAATATCTAAAATGATTTGATTTTAAAGCAGTAATTTAGCACACTTTTCTATGTGAAATTACACCACTGCGATCAGCTGCCAGGTGGACGTAGCTGCCTGTAAGCTAAATTCCAGAGCAGAGCTAAAAAAACCAACTGCTATAGAACATAAACATTCAGCATTTGATTAACTCTACAGTAGAAAGAGAGGGAAAATTACAGCAGAAGAGAAAATATGCAGCTTCGTTAATTGCCTGTCTCAAGGCTTAGCCATCAAGATTAATAAACTTACTCCTCTGACACTTTCTTTGCAAACTGAGAACAACGACAGCAAAAGGATCCATGTGATAAACACAGTTGTTTTTTCCTGGGCTAGGTAGTGAAAAGTAAATATCTAATTCAACAGGGGGAAGAAGGCTATGGCAAGAGCTAGCCTGACAGAGCAGCACCGCGCTTTGTGTGCTGTGCTGCACTGCTGACAACTCACCACAAACACTGAACGAATCAGAGTTGGTCATACAGGACTTTTATTTTCAAGCATGTTCTAATGCCCATAAGGCTGCAGTTTGAGTGTCGGCACAAACAAAAAGATGAAAACAGCAAATGAAAGAATAGCAGAACCATACTGTACAATTGAGTTGACCCTCAGAGCAGCAATTATGACACCACAACTTCATTTTCAGTAGAGCTGCAGCTCTCGCAGTCCTCCTACTGAAGAGCTCAGATGTGTGGACAGTATGAGAAAGAGCTGTTGCCTGTATATATCACAAACATCCTGGTTTTTTATGCTCTAGAACTGTGCTGTTGGTTGCGAATGCCAAGGAGAAAATCAGCAGAGCCTTTGGTATTTAAAAATTAGCTGCAAATCTGTTTTTATTATCTGCCTCATTCCCTCTAGCATGTATTTTCAAAAGGGTAGTCTTCATCCTGAGCATATGAAGCTCATACTGAGCTCAGGCCTATGCGAGTACACGTACAACACTGCGGGCACTGTTTGATTCAGATTCTCAACTCAGTGGCAGAGTGATAAATCTACCTTTATAGCACGTTTCTTCAAACAGATTGGGCAGGGATCCAGATCATTACTGATGTACATTCAAGAAATTGCAGAAAAGTACTTTCTATCGTCCCTACGTTAAGCCATAAGGCATAATTCATGACTAAGGACTGATCTATAATCAATTTTTTCTTAATGTAAAATTTATTTACATGCATGCATTCTGCACAGGGCTGATACCTGGAGCTGAGCCAAAGCTGATTACACCTTTTACTTCAAAATAAATCAGTGTAAAAAGAATAGCTGAAGCAATGTATTACAAAATTTAAAAAGCAGGCACTGTGTGGATCTGGATTTGGAGCAGAGATGCACGTTTCTAGATTGAGAATTTGAATCCTCTCTGTAAGAAATGAAGAAAAAGTCACCAGCTACAAATTTGGTATCTGTCCAGGGAATAGGTTCTATTTCTAACCAATATTTCATGAGGTTTGCAGAAGAAGGTTGTTCAGATGTTTTGTGTCTAGTAGGAAACTCCTACATGTGCAGCGCAGAGAAAACGACTAATTCACATGCAGGAAATCGGCCAGTCATCCGTTCTGTTCTTCAACATACAGTATATGGGATTCCTTGGAATCAGCACACGTGAAGTTGACAAGGTTCTAGCCAAAGAATTAGAGGTTCATATGGCACCAGAAAGGAAGCCAACACTTCAAAGCACAAGAACACGATTCAGCTAGAGACCTCCAGCGTCTCCTTTCTGTTTGCCCAGATACAAGCACTCCAGAACATCGCCTGTCTGCACAAAAGCAGGCCATCAGCCACTAAAGCATTTGTACCTTCAAGAAAACAACAAATGTTCCTCTGATCTGAGTCCAGCCCCTTCAGTTTTGGCTTTGTGTTTGAATCCTGACAGAAGGGCAGAGCAGAACATCAATGAAGAACCAATCAGACAGAAAGAGGACAACAGCACAGACACCTAGAACAGGTTGCCTAGGACCATTTCCAAACAGCTTTCAATGTCCCCAAGAATTAAGACTGTGCAACCTCTTCTCTGTACTGAACAGAAAATGATAATACAGAATAGTGAAGAAAACTAACAGCTTTTCTTAAATCTAAGGCAGAGCTAAAATGATGTTTTACAAGTAAACTGAAAAAGTTTAGGCACACATGCAGTTATGCAATTCTCTCACACAAAATAAAAGGATTATTATGGATTAATAAATGTTCTGATGCGCAAGTAACTCTGGATCCCAAACTAAATGAAGTTACCACTACTCACTGCTCATATACGTTCCTTTGGTAATCTTCAGAACAAAAACCTTCTTAAATATCAAAGTATTCAGTTCTAACTTTTGTTGTCAGATTAATGACAAATGAAAGGATTTTTTCCACAACAGTTACTATGATTGTAAAATTATCAAATCACCTTTGTTTTTGGACACATTTCATTTCAAGATTTCAAACATTTCATCAGTAAACACATCTTTTTGAACTTCTCTCTAATTACAGCAGACACTGAATGTTAATTCACAACTTGATTCTAGGCAAGGCAGTGCTTATTGATCTGAAAGCTTTATGTAGGTATAAGCAGAACGACATGCCAGTTAAAAGTATTCAGTTGCTCATCATTGGCATGAGAATGCACTACTGTATACTATACCTGTGTGTACTTACCTACAATTCCTAATGCAATGTAACCCAGAATGACAACTATGAAGATTACACAGCAAATAACATCTGTACAATGCCTAGGAACAGAAAGGAACACTGTTTAAAAATAAGGGGTCTAATACAATCCTTTGAAAACATTGAACGTCACGCTCTTCCCACATCTGAATATACCACATAAACATAGCTGCATCTGCACTTACTGTTTTCTGAAGTCTTCCACTAAGTCACATTTGAGATGCTAAGGTCCTGCTTTCACTGCAAGACGCTTACAAACATCCTCAGTGTGTCCTTTAAAACTGGTATCAAGTTATAGAAACAATGCCTTCAGATGATGACTCAATACAGCTTACCTGTATTATAAGCAGGTTATGAACCGAAAAACAACAGTGAAACTAAGAAATACAGCCCATCTGCAACTACCCAATCTGTGCAGAAAATTCTTATCCAGCTGCTTGACCTCACCTAGTGCAATCAAAGTAAGCTCTACAGAAGGAGAAAAAAAGACTTGTGGAGAGGCGTATTTCCATTTGCAGACAAGCAAAGAACAGCATTCTGTGAACTGAAAACTAAGACGCGAGTATCCAACTCAATGTCTTCTCTTTATTGCCTATCTATTCAGCTTGTGCAGGCAGAGAAACAGAGATGTGGACTAACACACATTTTTCTCCAGTGTTGGACCTTGATTAGAGGCATTCCAACAATGTAATTAATAGGAAACACAAACTCCTAAGAGGGTAGGAGAAAGGCAAGCATGCATTTACGGAGACAACAGGTTCTGGTGAGCAATTTTCTCCTTCAGAAGCTAACATCACAAGCCCTTGCTTCTGAAACATGCAGCAGCATTCCAGTTCATTTCTCATAAGACTCTGCAGGTCTCACTCATTAAGAAGTATTCGCAATTTCTGTCTCATGAGTCTGCATTATTCCATTAGCAAAGAAGCACATTATTCACAGAAGGATACACTATCTTCATCTCCCTCATCTAAAATACCTCGATCTCTGTTACTGACAACTTACTGCTTGGCACAGTTTTGGTGACAAGCATTGTGGATAGCCTAAAGGTATGCAAACTTGGCAGCTACCCTGCCTGGGCAAGTTCTGTCTGCAGAGGCTGCTGCTCTCCGTTCTCCCCTGGTAATAATAAATGGCTTCTGTACTGACCTGATCAAAGCGTATTCCAGTTTTCCATGATATAAGACTGAGCAACAGTCACTCCAGAAAGTGTAACGCGTGCTTCATTATAAAGTGAAAGTAAAGGATTGCCTTCATAAACACAGCAGTGTTCAGCTCTCCTTGCAAGTCTATGCAAGGAGCCAAGTGAATGCAAGCTGAAGCCTGAGCATGAAAAGAAATCTCATAATGCAGTCTCCAATGAAAAACAGTAATTTTTAGTGTCTATCGTTCTTTCCATTTTCCAATCTACTTTCTCCTCTTATAAATAACCATTATTCTGTAGTATAAAGGAGCTGACATTTGAAACAACTGCAGAACTTTGGAAGTGTTTTCAGGTGCGGAAAATAAATGAAAAATCCTGTATCTGTAGGGAGATAGTTTCACCATCTCACTGAAATAAACGTGCAGTAAGGCAAAGCCGGCACAGATTCTGGGTCAGTATAACAGTTACCTAATGAAGGACAACTTCATGAACTTCTTGTTCAGACACTCTGTTGAAGCTTGGCTCTCACCCCATAAGAGAAATTTTTAAGAGACCGAAGATTTAATAGAAGAAATCTCAGGAGAAATGAGCCACCATAAATATTCTAATTACAACTTATATTGTCTCAAAAATCTCTTCAAGTGTATCTCTCAGAGGTCTCGTTTTACGATAACTAAACACAATTAACAGTTACATTTGTTTGTGCTGGATCTTACTTTGAAGTTTTGCAGACCCATCAGGAACAAGTATCCATAAACAACCAGAATGCAGGACGTTCTGTTCTTCACAGAACATTTATAGGACACAAACTCTTGTATAGTTCCCAGCATGTCTTAAATGTGCTGGGGGCCCCAGATCTGGAATCTGACATAGTGCTCCAAATGGGGCCTCGTGAGGGCAGAGTAGAGGGAGACAGTTGCCTCCCTCACAGCCACTGCATTTATTCCATTTTAATAAGATGTTTACATGAAATACAACCAAACTCCACGCACAAACCCTTCAGAATTACAGCACTAGCAATGTACCATACCTATTGCCTCACTGAACACTCCTATTAACCCCATTGCTCAGTACTTCAACCACTGGCAACAGCTCTGTTCTCTTCAGAAAGAAAAATCAGTGAAGTCCATATAAATGCTTCTCCTTGCAGAGTAAGACTTCGCTTTCAGTTCCTCAGGCTTTCAGATCTTTAGTGGTTTGGAGGATCATTCGGTGCTCAACAAATTGTGAACATTTATACTCCACTGTACCTTGAAAAGTGCATTAACTTCAGCAGCCACTAGGATAGGATGTAACTGTTCTCTATGCACCTCCCATCGCTGACATACACAGCTTGCAGCCTACCCCTCCTGATATCTCTCTTCATTTTCAAAACTGAAGAGAAACTTAGTCCCTGATTACAGAAAATTGACAGTGAGGTTAAGAGCAGCTCAGTTTATTTTATCAGCTGAAAGCAAAGATAGGTTTACCCACACCCACACCATACACACCTAGTTGTCCTGGATTTGGCTGGGATATTTAAGCCATAGAGGTCTGTATGATGCTGTGTTTCAGATTTCTGGTGAAAAATTGCAATGAGAGCACATAGATGCTTTGGCTGCTGATGAGTAGTGCTTAAAGAATCAAAAACATCTCAGCTTCTCATGGTCTGCTACAGATGAGGCTGGAGGCACACAAGAAATGAGCAGGGGCCACTGACCCCAACTGATGAAAGGGACACCCTACACAGTTTGATGCAGTGAAAAAGGGGGAGGAAGCAGAAGAGGATGTTACCAATGCCTTTGTTTTGTGTGCGCATGCAGCTTTTGCAGTACTTCACAAACTGTTTTCATCTCAAACCACAAGTTCTCAACTTCTAGCTGTCAGATTCTCTCTTCTGCCTTGCTGTGGGAAGTGAGCGAGCTGTTGTGTGGTGCCAAGCTGTCTGGGGGTTAAACACTGTAATGCCTCTCCTCCTACAGAAATCTCAAAGTCAGAAGCAAATTCAGCGCAGAAGATGATTTTTCTCCTCTTCAACTCTTGGGAATATATTCTGAGAAAGCATTTTACTCATCAAAACTAGCTAATCCTTATGTATAATTGATGGATATCAAGATGTTACAATCACAAAATAAACAAGAGAGTTTGGCAAAGTGAACTATGATAACAAAAGAGAATAAATGGAAGGCTTACCCTTATGCTGGGCTCACCACAAAACACCAGAAGGAGGGATCTCCAGACAAGATCCTTCCCCACTGGCAGCCAGCTCTTAAATAGGTCTAGGAGGGGGGGGGAGCCAGGCTCCACCCCTTCCAGCAGCACAGCTGAATTGCCTTCACCTGTGCTCCTCTGGCTGGCTCATGGCTCGCCTCAGGTGATCAATCAGAGCTTCAGGCCGTGACTCAGCAGTTCCCATACATCCTTATTTACTTTGTTTTACTTAATTGGGAAAAGGAAAGTAAAAAAGAAACATTAATTGTCTTAAAAAAGTCTGAAACTGCTTCAGGGGTTCATGTACTGCACTGAGTGCACTGATGACTCCACATGGTTAGACAAGTCATGTGGGGATCTTGCAGCAGCAATAAGTTGAATCTGAACCCAGGTGCACCTTACTGCAAAGAAAGCTCTCTAAGCAACATTTTAGGAATCGGTGCCAGATGGCATACTGTACAGTGGAGCAACACCTTCAGTGTTTAGTGAACTGTTTCCAAGAACACTGTCTCACCAGACATTAAAAATGCACTTAACATATGTTGTATACCAGTTACGGGTCAGTTTTTACTTTACTTTGCTCTTAAGAAGCTGGTGTAGAATGTAGAATGTACAATTAAAACAGCACATACATACCTGAAAGTGCAGTCATCATCCCAGCAACTGTGCATTACTAACAGCAAGCCACAGCACAGAATGGTTTGGGACCTCTAAAGATCAACCACTTCTGAGCCCTGTGCCACAGATACACCCTCTCAACTCTGCCCCTGCAAGGCTCCATCTGGAGTACTGTGTTCAGATCTGGGGCCCCCAGCACAAGATGGGGCTATGGGAGCAGGTCCTGAGGAGGCCATGGGATGCTCGGAGGCTGCGGTACCTCTCCCATGGACACAGTCAGAGAGTTGGAAGTGTTCAGTCTGGAGAAGAGGTGGATCTGGGGAGACCTCAGTGCAGCCTTCCAGTACTTTACAAACTTTATAAACTTCCAATACATTATAAACTCCAAGGGAGTTTATAAACATGAGGGAAGTGACTTTTACTTGGTCTCATAGCAATAGGACAAGGGGGAATGGCTCTAAACTTAAAGAAGGGAGACTTACGCCATTTATGAGGAGGAAGCTCTTAACCCAGCGCTGATGGGGCACTGGTACGGCTGCCCAGAGCTGTGGGTGCTCCATCCCACGTGCTCAAAGCCATGGATGGGACTCTGGGCAGCCTGAGCTGGTGACTGGCAAATCTGTCCATGTCAGGGGGTTTGGAACTAGATGATCTTTAAGGACTAGCCCAATCTAAGCCATTCTATGGTTGGATGATTCGATACAAACGATGTAAAGTTCACAAAACTGGCATTCACATTGAAAGAACTTAAAAGCACGCACTTAAGTGTGGGAAGGGTAGCCTTTTGGATTAGAGACCTTCAGTATCAAATTCATATGTTTTATCAATCAATTTTTTTTCCCTTGCTCACTGCAAAACTAACAGAATAAAACAGAATGACTTAAGATATTTACCTGTTATGAATAGGTCCTCTGAACTTTGGGTCAAATTTCCTTGGTTCACCTGCATTTAAAATGAAACAACATAAAATCATGTCCTTATTAAAAATAAAATCTATACATGAGGGTTGTTAACAACAATCTTTAAAGAACATCTTCCATACACCCCCATTTACTCAATTCTGTGCAGGCATTAGCAGTAACTCACCAAAACAACTACCTGGTTTCGGTAGTCAGGATCAAAGTTGTTTTCCCTCAAGCTTAAGAAATTGGAGGGTGCCCCTTTTACCATGTGATGAAGGTAACATGCATCCTGACACTGCATCTATCCACAGTGTTGACAACACAAAGTTGCTGATACTCGAGAGCCAACAACTGTATCTCACAGACACACGCTAAGAAACTTCTTGTTTGGCAGCAACACGTGAGTGAAGTACCTGTGTGGAGCTGCAAGCTAAACCCTTCTGGTCTGATTCTTCTATCAAGAATCGCTCTGTATTCTAGAACAACGACGCCATTTTCCCCTTCATTTATAACTGGTGAAAATCAGGTGTACAAAGCTTTCCCACAGACTGTCAGTGGAATGAAAACAATATTTTAAGAGATGCACTCCTGAAAATGCGTGGAGTTTACTAGTCAGACAATACTGTGTAAACTCTGCGTTTTCCTGATATGGAGAGCACAGGTCAGCTAGTTTTGATGCATATTTTTGGATAAATATACGCGATACTTTAATCATATCAAACACGATACTGTAGTAGTTTTAAGTATTCTCAAAGTGTTTAGATTCGGGCAATTAAATCCTTTTTTCTGCTTTTCTTTAAAAGCAGAGTACTGAATTGCCTCAACATCCCACAGCAGTGTGCTGCGAGTGTTTCTAACAGGCATTTCTGGAGCACTTCCAACAAGTGTGATATGGAAAAGCGGGTAGGACGAACTGCCTTCATATGTAAAAAGCTAAATTGCAAAAGAATAATATTTCCAGTTTGTTTTTTGAACATAATGAAGATAGAAGAAAAACACTAATTGTGACAAACACAAAGTCAGGGAAAATTCAAAGTCACTTTCAGCTTCTCTGGTGTTGTTTACAAAAGCGTGCCACCCAGCACCCGATACTTGCAATTCCAGGAGCTTCCATTAAAACAACCACAACCTTCCCGAGGCACCCGTAAAGCACAGTCTCAAAAGAAATGATGTGGAACTGCTTTCTGTAACAGACAGGATCTGCCTTTCCCGTTAGGGAGGAAAAAACTTTTATTATGTACATTTTTAAAAGATACAGAAACACAGAGAAAACACAAAAAGTCGTGGGCATTGTTTACTGAACACAGACACTGCTCTGACGATTTATGAACTAGCATTTGTGTCTACTACATCCAACTAAATAGAGCAAAATGAACCCCCTTTTCTGTGGCAACTCCTACAAAGTAAAGAGTCCGTGTTATTGCAGCAAACAGCCTAGTTAGACAGCTGAACACTGCAGCAGTGCATGCTTCAGTCTAGTGTTTGTGAAGCATTACATTGGTAGCTCTCAGACAGAATTCAGCTTTTCCAACTCGACGTGGAATAAAATGTCTCGCACCAGCGCCTCCCGTGCCATGCAGGATGGTTTGCTCACAGTAAGCCGTTACACTGCCAGCACTTCCACAGCCTGTGCTGTTTGACCATTAGCTGTCCTTACATTTCACAGCTGGCAAATCTTTCTTCCTCTATAGCTCTCCCACAGTACAAGTTATGCAAAGATGTTAAATAAGATTTCCTCTGCCAAGTCTCAGTCTGAAATATAAACTATCTGCTGTATACTGATTTTTCATTCTTGTCTAATGGGACATTTACCTGTGAAGATGTCATCATTTACTAAATTATTTTCTCAATAAAATGTACATTTCAGCTTTCTGCATAGCACAGAGCGCAGATGCGTCAGAGCCAAAAAGTCTTTGCATTGCTGCTTCAGACAGAATAATGCCTAAGTACTGAAAGGAAATACAAGCATTGCATTTACTGTGCAAAACCAAAACGCTGAAGCCTTTTTTTCTTAATAAACCAGACATCTCTCCTTTCATCTACAGACACACAGAATGCCCATGTGCTGATCTTCACCAGCATGAAACTTTCATTTCCTGAGCAGTATGATTACGAAACCTATTACAGAATTCTGTAATGAGACATACATAGGCATTCCTATGGCAAATTTTAAAAACTAAACTACATGCTGGAATAACAAAGAAAATTTCTAAGTAAACCCTTCACTACACAGTGACAAAAAATACATATATTACAATCGAATATTATAACTCACAAATAATGCATGTCATACAAACATACAACTCACTTTGCTATTACAGAAAATCAGTGTCCTCCAACGTCTACTTTTTTGAGATACGTAGCATAATCAGTGTCAGTAATACAAAATACGGATCATCTCTAGAATATGAGCCATCAGTTGTACACCCAGCTACCCCCTGGGATGAGGCTTCCTGTCACTGTGCTGTGCTGAGGCTGGAGGAATGGCCTCCAGCTGCACCAGGGGAGATTCAGGTTGGACATGAGGAAAAGTTTCTTCTCCAAAAGAGCAGTTAGGCACTGGAAAGGGCTGCCCAGGGAGGTGGTGTCCCTGCAGGTGCTCAAGGAACATTCAGATGTGATACTAAGGGACGCGGCTTCGTGGGGAAACGCTGGTGGGAGGTGGATGGTTGGACTGGATGGTCTTGGAGGTCTTTTACAACCTTGGTGACCCTATGATATAAGGATCTTCCATGTCAACGATTTGTTAAACATCTTTTTCAAACATGTTTACTCATTAAGTAAGATAGGATTTTTTGTATTTGATTACTAGTATCTGGCATGATATTTTAATACCAAAATATCTGGTTATGCTTTAGACTGATTACAATGTTAGGCAAAAACAGATCTGTCTAGAAAACAACATTGAAATTAAAAAGCCTTGTGCTAATTCATGTGCTATTCTCTGTATGGAAACAAACACCCTGTAGCAGCATTCTTAAAGCAAAAAAAAACCAACAACAAAAGAGAAAACACCGAACAACCAGAAACCGTAAAAAATTATATAAAGAAAGCCATTCAAATAGAGATCTGGTGACTTGTGGCTATTGTTGCTTTACTAGAGACTAAAATTTGTCTATATGATTTGTATAACGCCATACATAAGATGATGATGAACGCCTGCTTATTTGAATGTAGCTAGTCTATAGCACGATGAAAGGAGCAGCAGCTCCCATGGCTGTTTTTGAACCATTAGATGCACGGTTACAAATGGAGTTTGTAACATGATGCTAATTAGGCCCAGTGCTTCAATGGAGACTCGTATTTTCAGTGCTTCTACCTTCAGCTCTGACACTGCTGCTATTTACTGTCAGACGTGCTCTGCCAGCAACGGCTCTGCGTCCGGAACAACGAAGGCATTCACAAAATGATAACAGAGGCAGATTTAATTTAAGAGTTTATTTAAACAAATAAATTACTTGCAGTTGACCGAAAGCAGTCAGAAGTGACCCTCTGCTCTGAGCTTTTTCTTCTTATTAATACAGAACACACTTCAACTGCATTCTCTATTTTGTCTTTAAAAAAATCCCTCTTCAATCAAAAGCTTGAGTTTAAAAAAACGTGCCCTTAAACAAAAGAGGGCAACTGTCACTACTGATGTTTCTGTCTCTGGAGACCCCTACAGACCCCCTGTTGTAGTTTCCATGAAAATAACCAGGAGGCATTACTTTCACAGCAACCTATGTACGTGAATGCCTCAAGAAATGCAATAACCAGCCTCCCTGAAGAAAAGAAATACATTACCAAAGTCACAGTCATTTCTATTCCCGTTACGTAACAGACAAAATTATTTAAACAATCTGTTTTCCTCACTATGATTTGAATCTCTACCCTGCTAAGCCCTGTTTTAATCACTATCCAGCTAGTGATGGAACACCAAAGTAATTCTGTGTTCTCACAATTAGAATAAAAGACAGCATTCAGATTTAAGAGGGGGAGGAGAAAGGAATTAAAAAAAAAAACAAAAAAAACAACAAAAGAATGACAGAAAGAAAAGCTTTTTCATTATTTCTTTGCCCAGATTTTTCTCCCTTAAGTATTTCCCACTCTCTAGAGAATTTAAGCAAAAATCTGGTCCAGAGTTCACATTCCATCCTACTTATACTCCCACTGTTGGAGCCGTTTTGATTGTCTTCCACAGCTCATCACCAGCAATGAAGTGCCTCCCACAAAGAGTTCTGACCACGAAGTACTGGGACTCTGTGGGATACCTCTGCTATTTTGTCGGAGATGGCTGCATACACACAGCTGCATTTACAGTTACTTTGGCTGTATTACTTTTTCAACAGACTTATTGGAAAAATGGTCACGTTTATCTCCTGAAGTGTGATCTTCTTCTTATACTTTCTGTAAGTTTTTCAGTGTTAGCAACATACAACTCACTAAAAACTAACTGAAAGAAAACAAAAGACGTCCTTGATCTATTAAATGTTTCCTGATCTTTAACTGCACTGGCTTTATGTGGTGAGGTTTTGGCAGCAGGAGGGCTGCAGGGGTGAATTTGGCAAGAGCCCAGGCAGGTAGGTGTGTTAGGTAAGAGCCAGCTCCAGATGGAACCGCAGAGACTTTGTTGGCTGTGCCTCCAGGATAAGATATTTAAAAGAAAGGGAAAAAAACCAAAAAGCACGCCGTCGAGCAGTATCAGCGGGACAAACTACCCTGCAGACACCGAGCGCCGTGCATTAGGAGGCTGAGGAGCTGCCCGGTGCCTCTGCAGGAGCCCACGTGGGATCAGTTTGGTAAAGATGGCATCAACAGGAGGAACTCGTGTGGAGCAGGGGAAGAATGAGGATGAAGGAGCAGCAGAAACAAAGCATCGCGGACTGACGGCATTCCCATCACCTCGCACCACTCACGTAGGTGGTCGAAGGATAACGGAGAGGAAGGCGGGTTTTGTTTGCTTTTGGCTCTGACTGCCTGACCATTATTAACTGCCAATAAACCGATCTTCCCCAAAGCCGACTTCGTTCTGTCCGTGACTGTAACCGACCAGCGATTTCT